GAAATTGAAATTTGGTAAATTACAATGTAATTCAAAGACTAAGCTGTGTTTATAAATATGTTTTATACACTGGGAGCTTTTTACCTCTTCCAAATTATACCACAGTTTTAAGAAAAGACCCCAATTTGATTAATCCACGTTGAAAATGTTGGCACATTGGAAAAATTACCCTATACGGTATACAGTAAATTTCAACCCGGGGTCAAAAATTTAAAGTGATTGGGCAACATTTTCCATAAGTATTCAATTGATAAATAAGGGGTTGTATTAGCATTTTGGATATAATTTAAATATTCTTGTGAAAAATATGTTGCTAGAATTTTTTTAGTGATTTATAATGAACATTTTTAATGGTTTTATATTTTGTTCTTAAGTAACAAATATTTATGACTGTCAGTATATTTAAGCAATAATTATGTTATATTCACGCAACAATTTTCATAATATAATCATTTTGTGGATTGTTGTCACATATGATTCTAAAATATTAACATAATTATATTTGGTATTACAATAGATCCACACCAATTTCAATTTAATGCTAGTCATCCGGGATGAATACGTAAAGGTTTTAGTCTTTGACCTCTAAAGATGGTTCCACTGCACTCAAAATCATCGGAACCGAATTCCATTAAAGAAGTATTCAAAAACACTAAGTTAGGACCAACACGAGAAGCAGATAATGTTGCACAGGTATTTATATCATAATTTACTGGTTGTCACGACTGGAACAAAGTAACCCAAATGGTAACTTAGCCACATCGCCCTGGATTGATGATTCGTCTACTCAGATTCGCTCCATAAATGTTTGCACCCCACTTAAAAAAAAGACTTTTTGCAATGAATAAGTTAATGTGGGAATAATTCAATGGTTTTTGCACATAAAGAATACAGTATGTTCTTGTTTTTATGAAATTTGTGAATTTTTTAGAGTTTTTTAAAATTGTCAAACAAGTTGAAAACAATTTTATGTCCAAGAAATGCAACAGTGTTGTAATAATATTCTAGAATAATTTGATGTAGGGTTTGCAAAATAAATTTTGCCATGATGTATACAAGTGTGGATCAAGGAGGGGGGCGACTTACATAACCCTAAGAGTCTGTCTTCCTATACACAAAATACGGCTATATCCTGGAAAAGACCCCGGGCCAGACGTCTAAACGGCAGAAGTAAATATAAGGTTTCTTTAGTTCATCATATAAGGGGTGTCACGTTTATCAGTTTAAATAGGTATGGTCGGTTTTTAGATAAAAACTGGTTTATAGGAAGCTCAACAACTGGTAACTGAGGTAAGTATTAGACAAAGTGACAATTTTTAAAAAAGTAATTCTATGTCGCTTAAATAAATATGTTTAAACCAACCCTTGCTGAAGCTGTACACAATGTCAAACCCAAATCATACAGCACAATGTCAGACCTGCATCATGTAGCACAATGTCAGACCTACATCATGTTGGAGCGCAATGTCAGACCCAAATAATGTAGCACAATGTCAGACCCAAATCATAGAGCACAATGTCAGACCCATATCATGTAGCACAATGTCAGACCAAAATCATACAGCACAATGTCAGACACACATCATGTTGGAGCGCAATGTCAGACCCATATCATGTAGCACAATGTCAGACCAACATCTAGTTGCACAATATCAGACCCACATCATGTAGTACAATGTCAGACCCACATCATGCTGGAGCACAATGTCAGACCCACATCATGCTGGAGCACAATGTCAGACCCACATCATGTTGGAGCACAATGTCAGACCTCATCATGTAGCACAATTCAGAACCCACATTGTACAGCAAAATGTCAGACCCACATCATTTAACAAATGTCAGACCTACATCATACAGCACAATGTCAGACCTACATCATGTAGCACAATGTCTGACCCACATCATGTTGGAGCGCAATGTCAGACCCACATCATGTAGCACAATGTCAGACCCACATCATGCTGGAGTGCAAATGTCAGACCCCATATCATACAGCAACAATGTCAGAACCTATATCATGTAGCACAATGTCAGACCCACATCATGCTGGAAGCACAATGTCAGACCCACATCAATGCTGGAGCACAATGTCAGACCACATCATGTTGGAGTGCAATGTCAGACCCATATCATGTTGGAGCACAATGTCAGACCCATATCTATGTAGCACAATGTCAGGCCCACATCATACAGCACAATTTTAGACCTACATCATGTAGCACAATGTCAGACCAAACATCATGTTGGAGCGCAGTGTTAGACCATATCATGTAACAGTAGCACAATGTCAGACCCAAATTATACAGAAAATGTCAGACCAACAATCATGTAGCACATTGCCAGGCCCACATCATACAACACAATGTCAGACCCTACATCATGTAGCACAATGTCAGACCCACATCATGTTGGAGCATGGTGTCAGACCTGAATCATACAGCACAATGTCAGACCTACATTATACAGCACAATGTCAGACCCACATCATGTTGGAGCACAATGTCAGACCCACATCATGTAGCACAATGTCAGACCCACATTATACAGCACAATGTCAGACCCACGTCATGTAGCACAATGTCAGACCCACATCAAGCTGGAGCACAATGTCAGACCCACATCATACTGGAGCACAATGTCAGACCAACATCATGCTGGAGCACATTGTCAGACCCACATCATACTGGAGCACAATGTCAGACCCACATCATGCTGGAGCACAATGTCAGACCCACATCATACTGGAGCACAATGTTAGACCAACATCATGCTGGAGCACAATGTTAGAACCAACATTATGTAGCACACATGTCAGACCCACATCATGTTGCACAATGTCAGACCACATCATGCTGGAGCACAATGTCAACCCACATCATGCTGGAGCACAATATCAGACCCCCACATCATGCTGGAGCACAATGTCCAGACCCACATCATGTTGGAGCGCAATGTCAGACCCACATCATGTAGCACAATGTCAGACCCACATTATAACAGCACAATGTCAGACCCACGTCATGTAGCACAATGTCAGACCCACATCAAGCTGGAGCACAATGTCAGACCCACATCATACTGGAGCACAATGTCAGACCACTTCATGCTGGAGCACAATATCAGACCCTTACATCATGTTGCACAATGTCAGACCCACATCATGTAGCACAATGTCAGACAAACATCATGTAGCACAATGTCAGACCCCAAATAATGTAGCACAATGTCAATCCCACATCATGTAGCACAATGTCAGACCACATAATGTAGCACAATGTCAGACCCACATCATGCTGGAGCACATTGTCAGACCCACATCATACTGGAGCACAATGTCAGACCCACATCATGCTGGAGCACAATGTCAGACCCCACATCATACTGGAGCACAATGTCAGACCCACATCATACTGGAGCACAATGTCAGACCCACATCATGCTGGAGCACAATGTTAGACCAACATCATGTTGGAGCACAATGTCAGACCCACGTCATGTAGCACAATGTCAGACCCACGTCATGTAGCACAATGTCAGACCCACATCATGCTGGAGCACAATGTCAGACCCACATCATGCTGGAGCACAATGTCAGACCCACATCATGCTGGAGCACAATGTTAGACCAACATCATGTTGGAGCACAATGTCAGACCCACGTCATGTAGCACAATGTCAGACCCACGTCATGTAGCACAATGTCAGACCCACATCATGCTGGAGCACAATATCAGACCCACATCATGTTGCACAATGTCAGACCCACATCATGTAGCACAATTTCAGACACACATCATGTTGCACAATGTCAGACCCACATAATGTAGCACAATGTCAGACCCACGTCATGTAGCACAATGTCAGGCCCACATCATACAGCACAATGTCAGACCTACGTCATGTAGCACAATGTCAGGCCCACATCATACAGCACAATGTCCGACCCACGTCATGTAGCACAATGTCAGACCCACATCATAAAGCACACTGTTAGACCCACATCATGTAGCACAATGTCAGACCCACATCATGTAGCAGAATGTCAAAACTGGATAATGGTTCACAACAACAAACCATGTCTGTCAGCAAATAATCAGACAATATATATTTTACTTAATGGTTTTTGTATGATTTAATTATGAACGTAAAGCTGGCTGGCTCACTCACTCAAATAAGTTGTTTACATGTACAATGTTACCATTCTATCAAAGGCATATTATGATCAAATGTTATTTGCACATAAAAGTTTGTTTACTTTCTGATAAGGTTGTCAGCTCTTTAGGAAATTGTAAACTAGTTGGCCAGTGTAATGGTAGTACTGTTGATAAGAACATTTGATATTTGAAATATCAGAGGTGAAAGATTGTTTACAGTGTGATTGATAAATGACATTTTGTTCCTAAATATGCATGATACATTTTATTTAGAAATTGTTACATAAATTGTAAGTCTGCTGTAGCAATGTGTATTTCTCTCATTCGTTTATACATTAATGTATAAAGATATCCAGAATTTGACTATTTCAAGCTCTTTTTTGCCAGTTTCTGTGCAAGAATCAATTGTGTGTTAACAGCTCTTATAAGTAAAAGATTATTTTACTCAAGTTAGACATTAGAAAATACTGATAATTGCCATACAATCTGTTTTTTAAATGCAATATAAATATCTTTTAGAGAAAATGATTTTGTTACGTTTTAAACTATAAATTTACAGGTAAACACAGTATAAATACAATGGGTCATTAAAAAATCTGGGGTTTTTCTGTGTTTTTTTTTTTTAAGAAAGAACCAAACTTATTTGATCAGTAAAAGGAAATGCATCATCCCTCAAAATACAGTGAAACCTATGTTAAAGACCATGTCTAAATACAGATCAACCTGTAAATGAAGGTCACTCTTCAACAACCCTTCATTGATTGTTAAGAACAAAATAACCTCTAAATAAACCCCACATGTCTATAAGGGTTATGTTATATGACCTTTGTTAATAGGTTTGACTGTAGACATATTCATTAAGAATTTCCTAGATTTTAATAAATTTCTGCAATAAAAGAATTTTACCTAAAGATGAGCATTAATTTATATATCTTTAAAGTGTTGCAATTTCTTTGATAAGGTCCTAGACTTATATTTTTGATTCTCTACTGTTTCTTTAAAGTTTATTTATTTATGGACATATATAAAGGTAGTTGATTTAAAAGACATTAATTCAATGTCAGATACCTTAATTTGCATTTCATACTGCTAGATATTTTAATTAATTTCTGTTGACAAATAGGAAAACCAGTTAAATTGTTGGCTTTATAGGATTATTGTGATATAAGTTGATAAAAGTTATCTCAATGTAAAGTATTAAATGCCAGTAAATGAAATTTTTGCAAACAATATGTTTGCCAATTTTATATTGTATACTTGTCACAAATTTTATCAGACCATATCAGAATTTTTTCAAAGGTATAACTCTCTGACTATCAGTTTAAAAGACCACAAATTGTTGAACTTAACATCAGCTTTAATATTAGGCTTCTTCATACTTTTCTATCCTAATGTAATACATTTCTTTTGGGTTAAAAGCACAGACTTTACTCATTGCATTGCGATGCTTGGATAAGTTAATATTGTTGTTTGTTTCTGTTCATAGACTGAGCAATTTAAGATACATGTACTATAGCTAACAAAGTTTACAGCTCCTTCATTATTCATGATATGAATCTATATGAAATGGGTGTGTTTTATTTATATTTAAGGCGTGGCTAGATGACCATGAGAGGAGTTTTGGACATTTTATTGATGGAAAATGGGTAAAACCAGAAGGCAGGAAAACATATCAAACAAAAAACCCAGCCACTGGTATGTTCATAAATTTCAAGTTTAATTTTTAGCTCAAGTATTTACTCTGTAATAACTTTTGTTTTGGATTATGACATAGTTATGTTCTTTTTTTTACTTGATTTATTCTAAGACCAGCTATATTTTACTGTTCCCCCCTCCCAATCTTTTAATCTATTGTATAAAATGTTGACAAAAGAAAGTTTATTTCTGATAATTACAATTTTAAAAAGTTTGCCTTTGATAATAACAACACAGTTCATTGAATGTTGATGAGAAATACATAATAATATGTCTGCATTTAACCATAAATTCAGTGTTGCAGGAGATGGAATTTGGTATGATGAAATTTGTTTATTTTATGTTTATTTCAGGTCAGACTTTAGCTTCCACTTTACAGGGCACTAAAGAGGATGTAGATATGGCCGTGAAGTCATCGAGGAAAGCTTATGAGTCGTGGAGTAAAACACCACCTCATGTCCGAGCTCGATACATGTACAGGTAGCTGTTATAGATTATTATGGAGAATGAATAGTGTTATAAAATTATTTTTTTGTCACTAATGCATACTATATTGTATATTTTATGTGCTCTTAATTTGAGTCAGGTCAATGAATCTGATTTATGTAATGTGTATGCACATTTCATATCATGGTCAACTTTAACAAAAAAAGATGAAACAAAACTTGACTTTAGCATAAGAACAAATGTTAACTTTAGCATAAGAACAAAAACTGACTTTAGCATAAGAATAAAAGCTGACTAGCATAAGAATAAATGCTGACAAGCATAAGTACAAAAGCTGACTTTAACATAAGAACAAATGCTGACTTTAGCATAAGAACAAAAACTGACTTTAGCATAAGAATAAAAGCTGACTTTAACATAAGGACAAAAGCCTGACTTTAGCATAAGAACAAATGCTGACTTTAACATAAGAACGAAAGTTGACTTTAGCATAAGAATGGAAAAGACTAGCATAAGAACAAAAGCAGACTTAACATAAAAACGAAAGCTGACTTTAGCATAAGAATGAAAGCAGACTTTAGCATGAGAACAATAGCAGACTTTAGCATGAGTGGATTTAATGAATTTCAGTGTGGCTAGACACATTCAGAAGCATCAGCGTCTGATAACGGTTGTTGAATCTATGGACAATGGTAAAACCTTTTCCGTGAAAGCCGTGATGCTGATATTCCAACTGTAGTGCGACACTGGTACCACCATGCTGGATGGGCACAACTCATGGAATCTGAGATGAGGGGTTGGCAATCTATTGGTATGGAATGACTGGTCAAAATAAATTTATTGATTTGTTTCAGTTGAACAGTACTGCAAAATCTCATTATTATCCCATTACCTGCGGAATTAATGGTATGGATTTGCCCTGCTTTGGATTTAGAACTGTCCAACTGAATTTTAAGCCATTCTATTAACAAAATATAAAAAATAAGCTGCCAAAAGTTGAAAAGCATGGTCAGGCTTGCCTTGCTGTATACAGAACATTTTCATGGGTTTTTATAAGTTAATGGACCTTTTTTATCAAAATAAAGGTAAATGCAAATACAAATAATGTAATTCAAAAAAGGATCTTACAGCAGACAAATTAAAAAAATTTTGAAGCTTAAAATTGTGGATTAACCTTTCTATGAAAACCATAAGAATTAATGCCAGTTAATGAGTTTATCTCAAATATTGGCTTAACCTATTGTATATTTTCATGTTTCACACTTGATAATTGTTTTGCATTGTTACCATAATTGTCGAGGCATTTAAGGCCAAGTGGTTAAGGCCGACTTCAAACCACATGCTTTTCACTGCTGTAGGTTTGAATCCCGACAGGGACTTTGAATTCTTTCATGTGAGGAAGCTATCCAGCTAGCTTACAGAACATCAGTGGTTTTACTCTGGTGCCTGTTTGTACCTGAAATAATGCATGAAGAGCACCTGAGGTTTTCCTCCACCAGTAAAGGCTTGAAAATTGCCGTATGACCTTGTACAGTAAGTGGGACATAAAACCCAACAAACAAACAAAAGTTGTATGCATACCATAAATTGAATACTGAAATTTTTTATATAAAGGTGTTTTGGAGCCCCTTGTACCCCCGGAATTTCCCCTTATGTTTTCTTTACATGGAAAGGGGTGCCCGCATTGGGCCCTGGGCAATACAAAAAACTCCCCAAAACCCGAATTCACGGACTTCTCCCTTGTACTGGCCCGAGAACTGTTTTTGAAGCTGGCCTGCCCCCTGGGGGTGTTTAACGTGATCAAGGAATGGACAGATTTGGGGAAATATGCTGGGTTTCATGATGGCGTGGAAAAAATAGGGTTTTACGGGTCAACTGGGGGAAAAGTTCATTTCAATTTTCTGTAAAAATTATCATTATAAATTTTAAAAATTTACTAATTGGTACATGTAAATGTTGTTGAAAATGTACGTACGTCAATCTGGTTCAGTGCTGGAATGGGAAAACATTTGTTTACGAACAAAAATCAAGCCAGATATTGATTGTAATCTAATTTGATAGGAGTTATATTCAAAAGGAGTTAACCTGTAACTGCACTAAGGTGACTGTTTTACCTACTGGTCCCTATTTTGAGTGTTATTCCCAATATATGTTATGCTTTAGCTATGATAAAATCTCTCACAATTCTTCCATTTTCATATAAACTGATTTAAATTTGGCAACATTTTTTTTAGAAACAGAAAGACATTTTACCTATATTGATTTTGTTTATATATTGTCAGTTTTATTATATAGAATATTTACCCCTCACAATGGCTGCTTATTTTTGCTGGAGAGGTAAATATTGTACTACTATGAAACTATCTTATGATGCTTAAGTTGTATTCAATCATCTGTTGCACATTTATATTGATACATGTACATGTATGTTGATATGTACGTACGTCAATCTGGTTCAGTGCTGGAATGGGAAAACATTTGTTTACGAACAGAAGTATACTTGAAATATGTTATGCCCTGACTTCTTTCCCTTAAATAAACTACTAGTGTTCCCATTTCATTTTAAGCCAAATCCATCATATAAATTTTTGCAGTGTAAGGGTTTTACGTTTGTACTTTCTATGGTTTTACTTTAAAGAATAATCTGATTATTTAATGATATTGATGTTTTCATTTGATATTTTAGGTTGGGCAGACGTTAAGGAGATTGATAGCAGGTACTGGTAAGAAGTTGTCACTAGAACTGGGTGGTAAATCAGCTGTTATAGTATTTGACTCGGCTGATCTAGACAGTACAGTAGAAGGTCTGGTTGATGCAATCTGGTTCAATCAGGGACAGGTATTACTTAACTTTAGTTCAAACTTTTAATTATATCCCTACCAAACATAGTTTGCCTTATATATACTTGTAGCTCTTTGCCCAATCCGATCTCCATTGTTTTTTATGTCCCCCAAGCAAATCTTTAATTACATCCCTACCAAACATATTTGTAGGTCTTTGCCAGTCCTGTCTTCATTTTTTTATGCCCCCCCCACCCCAGCATAGTAATTTAAACATCCGTCTTCACTACCTTAAGTAAATATATGTAGGGGGCCACTTACCTGTAAACAGAACAAAATATTATAGATGTTAGTAAAATGTAAAAAGCCACATTTATATTCGTCTTCTAAGAAGTAGTTTATTGGCAAACCAGATAATTTTAATATTGAAAATTCTCTTGTGATCTCCTGACACTTGTGTAGGTATATAGAATAATTTGAATTGATAAATGATACATTGTACTCATTTATAAGATTTAACCAAATGTTTACTGTGTTCTAGGTATGCAGTGCCGGGTCTAGGCTTCTGGTACAGGAGTCAGTTTATGGTAGACTGGTTGGAAAATTGAAAACTAGACTGACCCACTTTAGAGTGGGAGACAGTCTTGATAAAACAGTTGATATGGGTGCCATAGTGGATGACTCACAGAAGAAATCAATAGATGAGTATGTAGAAGATGCTCGTAGAGAAGGGGCAGAGGTAGTGTACATGTTTTATCTTCATATTTCTCTAAGTAATTCATGAACTGAGTTGTGTTTAAGTTGTCTACCTGTCTGTCTGAAGACACTTTTATGTACAGTAGAACTTGCCAAAAAATGATTAGACTTCAGGTCTTTGACTCATATATCTTTTGTGATTATCACGCAACACCAGGTCTTAATAAGATCAAATTCATTTCAGGTTTACCAAGCATCAGCATGTATTCCAGTCAGAGGATGTTTTTATCCACCAACGCTAATAACAAATGTTCAGACTGTGTCTCGAGTTGTAGCAGAAGAGGTAAATATCTAGACTGATGTACAATTTTATACTTATTACTGTATAAATAAACACAAAGCATGTGTCACAACGAATATGTCATTTATTGTTTAGCTCTCCGGAGCATAACATGCTTATGGTGAGCTATTGTGATCCCCTGTCCAGTGTGCTTCATCCAGAATAGGAGAAAAAAGACCAATGTTTGATAGAGGCATTTCATTAGAGACATGAATACTGTAACTGCTTGTTTTTACAGAATTCATTTTTTGTTTAATGTTTAAACTATCATGATAACTTACTATTTATCAAGTGCTCATGTGAAACCTTAACTATCAGAAAGTGGCAGACTGAAAGATAGCTTTATTAGTTTGAATAGAAGTATTCTGATAATTCATTTTACATTAATCTATTGTTGCCTTAGTGATAAAAAGGAAAAGAAAGCATGGAAAACATAATAGTCCAAGAATGCAATATACTTTGATTAACTTGTCATGTACATGAAAACAATATTGCTAATTGATTAATTATTTTTGCAGATATTTGGTCCAGTATTGGTAGTTTTACCATTTAGAACAGCTAAAGAGGCTATCACACTAGCAAACAACTCTATGTATGGTCTGGGTGGTAGTGTGTGGACAGAAAATATCTCACTTGCCATGGAAGTGGCTATCAGTATTAAAGTAAGCTATTGTAGCTATACTGTATTATTTTATAATATAATTACAAACATCACCAGTCCGTCTGCTTTGCTCAATAGGGAGAGCATCAAATAAGTACTCCAGGGGAAGCTGCATCGATCCTTGGTATGATTTCATCATGAAATTTGATTTCCGGTATCAAATCTAATGGTCATTTGTATCCCACTGCTGATTTAGAAATCATGTGGTATTAAAAATTTGTCACTTGCGTAGAAATTGGTATTACTGGTTAGTTATCCAGGTAGGTTGGTTATGTGGATCTACCACTGAGATATGACCAAATATATGATGAAATCAGCATAAAGAAAAAAATATCAGAAAAATAAAGAAATTTGATTCACCTTTGTAATGATCAACTGATGCAAAGAGAGGGGTGAAAAAATCACAAAATATAATAACGAAATCACTGTACCCTGTTTTGCTAGTCTATACAATTCATTACGACTCTGTCTTGTGTGTACAAGCACATGTTACTTCCGATCACTGTACCCTTCTTGGGAGCCTATGTATTTCATCTTGAACTTTTCTTGTGATAACAGGAAGTAGACTCGTTTATATACTGTAAAATTGTGACAAAGCGTTGAATAGTTCTCTTTGATACATTTTATGTACATGTGTACTATTGATGAATATTTTATATAGACAGGTACAATGTGGATTAACTCACACAACATGTTTGATGCCGCAGCAGGTTTTGGTGGATATAAACAGAGTGGTTATGGTCGAGATGGAGGGAAAGAGGTGTGATATAACATTCTGTAATTCTTGATATATATACTTAAATTATTCCATATATCATTATTTTATATAAAAAAACAAACATTTAGAACCTCTTTACTGTTGTCCCATTTCTTAACATACAAGATAATCTGAAAAATATTTAGTTTAATGACTGCATTTCTTATCTTATTTGTATCAGATCATGGTTGAAATATTGGGATTTTTTTATTCTGCTGATATATCACATGTATGTAATCCTGTACCTACAACATATCATGGGGGCGTCTGTGTCCAAGACAGTTTAGGTCAGTGATATCCAATCACTTGCTTTTTACTGTTGTGTATTTGAATCCTACCAGGAACTTTGAATTCTTTCATGTGATGAAGCTATCCAGTTATCTTACAGAACATTGGTGTTTCTAATTAACTGTTCAAGCCTGAAATAATGTGCGGAAAGGCACCTGAGGTCTTCCTTCACCAGTAAAGCTGCCATAATTATGACCTTACAGTACCAAATAAAAGCTACAACAAATAAAGATATTTTTTATCTCTTAACCTTGTGTATAATCTTCATGATTTACCTTAAGTGTGATGAAAGTCAAATTGCTTTTCAACCTTATTACAGGGATTGTATGAGTATGTTAGGCCAGCTTGGGAGTCACGTCCACGTCCAGCAAATGTTGAACTTGATTTGAAGACATTTGGTGCAACCATAGGTAGCAGGCCTAATGTCGGTGGTAATGAATGTGGCAAGGGAGAAATACCAAAGTAAGATAAACAAAATAATCTGTATACTTTATTAATGAAGTCATAATTGTAGGTCTAACACTTGTAATTGTTACATGGTTATTAAACATTTTTGTGAGCACATAGTATGATTGAACAGTACAGGATTAATTCTTAGAAAGAAGGTTACAAAAAAAGTAGAAATTGTTTTTGTCTTCTGCATAAAATGGTCACTTCAGCTAAGAGGAGAAAATACTTTAAAATGACAGTTTTTCTTTGTTAAGGAAGTATGATTCTTTGTAGTTGTGGGGCTATCTTTTTTCAATTAGAAAAGGTTCATTAATTATCATTTTCTCCATAGATAAATTCTGAAGCTATATTTATACTTATTTGTAGGATTGATCATACATATAAGATGTATTATGGAGGAGCACAAAAGAGACCAGATGGTCAGTATTCACGTCCTGTCACCAATCCCGACGGTAAAGTTATAGGTCATGTTGGAGAAGGTAACAGGAAAGACATCAGAAATGCAGTAGAGGCAGCTCATAGTGCTGCTCCAGGGTTAGTATTTGTATCTACATGAATTGTATTGGCTGTAAAATTGATAATAATCAATATGGAGGTCCAGTGTTAGTCAATCTCTATTATTTCAATAGTGCTGTTAATAAATCAGTCACTATGATCACAATAGGGGATCTTCTACATGAGTCAGTCACTATGATTTCAATAGTATTCTTCACAAGTCAATAACTATGATTTCAATAGTGTACATGTGATTAAAGTACAGTGTAATTCTGAAATCAAACCACCAGTGGGCAAGCCAAAAATAGGATTTAGATACAGAATTCTACAATTAAATGAACCAGTACAAATGTGAAATATAAGACATGAAAAGAAATATGAATCTGGTGAAATTTTATGAAATGCCATAAATTGAGAAAGTTTATTGAATATTGCTTTCAGCTGTAAGTGACTTTGTTGGTACAACAAAATTAAGTTTTCACAATTTAAAACATGATAGATGTTATCATCTGAATTGCAGTTTGAATTAAGCAAGAAATTAAGTCGTTGATGCTGTTGAGAGATTTTAGGCTTTCACATTCTCTATTAACATGGCAGGTGGGGAAAGAGAGCGGCTCATAATCGTGCACAGATAGTTTACTATATGGCAGAAAATCTAGAGATCAGGAAACAAGAGTTTGCAGGTAGAATTCAGGAAATGACAGGAAAGTCACTTGAGGAAGCTCTGAGAGAAGTTGATGTTTCTATAAATAGATTATTCCATTGGGGCGCTTATTGTGATAAATACGGAGGTTCAGTACAGGTACTATATCTTTGATATTGTTTTTAATCCTTAACACATTAAATATTGACTAGATTTGTAAATATTTCGGTCTAGACAAAACCGTTCATCATTTTAAGGAAATATTTCGGGTAAATGTGTTTTCTAAATAGAGAACACTGCAGACCATGATCAGGGTACAACATAGATAGATGTGACAGCTGATGTTGGTTTGCACTGGATGCATACATAGAATTAGATGTTGCCAGTAGGATAAGGATTAAATTCCCTTTAATTCCCATTAATTCAATGAAAATGTAAAAAAAAAACACGTTTCAGCATAAACAATGCAAATCAGAATAATTTAAAGCAAATATCTTGGACTTATTTAATAAGTCTTTGTTGTGTTATAGTGGACAGTCTATGTAAACGTGTATCTAGTTGTGCATTTACCTTAATTATGGAGAAAGTAAAATTTATATACATATATAAGAAAAGAGGAAGAATTTTAACAGAATTTAACATAACTGGCTATGCTTGAAATAAAAACACATGGATAATAAAAATACATTCATTTTAAAGTCTTTACAATTTTTTAACTGATCACCAACCAATGATTCTTTATGTTTAAAGTTTGGCAATAAATTGTTTGTCTTTGATATACTGCTCACATAAATAAATAGGCATCAATAAAGGCAGTGTTTGTTTATGAAAAGCTGTATTTTATTTATGATTATATGTGCCTTTTTGTGACCACCAAGATGAAATTAGTATTTAAATTGAATGATTTTCAGGAAACCACATTATATGGAGCAACAGTGAAGATACATGAGCCAGTAGGTGTGATAGGTATTGCCTGTCCAGATCAGTACCCGTTACTTGCCTTTGTGTCGTTGTTTGCCCCAGCTGTGATCCGAGGTAACACGGTGGTGATTGTACCAAGTGAGAAATATCCATTACTTGCCCTCGATCTTTATCAGGTTTGTTTATTTATACATCAAAATATAATCAAACTATTTTTTTATTCTAAATTTCAGAGAGTGTTTCAGGCCGAGTGGTTAAGGTCAGTGACTTCAAGCCTTCTGCGCCTCACCTGTAGGTTTGAATCCTGTTGGGGGACCTTAGATTCTTACATGTGAGGAAACTATCCAGCTAGCTTACGGCATGTCAGTGGTTCTACTCAGGTGCCAGTACCTGTGCGAAATAATGCACAGAATGGTACCTAAGGTCTTTCTTCACCAGTAAAGCTGGGGAATAACCATATGACCTGTGTGGGTGCGATGTAAAATCCAACTGGAAAACAAAATGAAAATTTAAAATTCATCTTGAAGTACTAGATATATGTATATGAACCACTTAATGACTAACTGCTGCCAATAGTATCAGATTTAAGAAATAATTAGACTGAAATCAACAATAGATTATTGAGATATTTTCGAGATATGTTCCTCATGGTACGTTCTGTGTTTCTAAATAGAAAAAAAGACTATGAATGGCATACAGTGTCAGTATCATAAATTACTCTCTTTGTTCTTGTGATGGGTTTGACAGAAAAATTTGTTGGGAATACTGTGTTTGGATGTTTTCTAGGCTCACCCTTTCAGGCACTGAGAGAACAGAACATGGACATGTCACCATTCATGTCCTTAAAGATTTTAATTTTCCAAAGGTGCCTATTAATTTATAATTCACTAAATTTACTGAATATATGTATGCGTACATTGATTTTGTCTCTGCTTGTACAATTTTCGCTGTGTAGCAGAGAATGCAGATGTATGGAATAGTGTACAAGTCTTTTTAGTTTTTACAAAAGAATACACGTAAATCGATTTTATTATATATATTTTATTTCCTCCCTATTTAGATATTTGATACATCTGATCTACCAGGGGGTGTTGTCAACATTATCACAGGAGACAGGGACCATCTCACAAAGTTTCTAGCAGAACATCAGGACATTCAGTCTATGTGGTATTTCGGTGGTGCCGAGGGATCCAAATACGTTGAATACATATCTGCTGAGAATGTTAAACGTACTTGGGTAAATTATGGGTGAGTATATTACTATATCTTCATGAAATGGTCAGTCAAATGCTCGCCCATATGGTATTTTCCGGTGGCAATGGTAAACAAACCAAACACACACATGGCCAGACTGAGGTAGAAGGTATAGAGATAAAGTTTAATATTGTATATGTCAGTATGTGTCTAATAATTTTTAACTCAAATATTCAAAGAGTCGGGACAGCTGTTGTACTCTGGCATAGGCATCAGCATCACACTTTGGTTACCTTATTTGTGTGCATGTTGGTCTCCAAAACTACTGAAGAGAATGGATTGAAAGTTCACACACTTATTTAAGACCATAAAAGGAGTTCACAGTGTAAGGCCAATAACTCTAACATGGATTTTGACAGAATTATGGCCCTTTTGATATTAACAAATTCTTCATTATCCAGCTCTTGTTTTACTATTGCGCATAGAGAATTGTCGAGCATACTGTCCTACTGACAGCTTTTGTCCTTATTTATAACAGTGAATTTTGCTAAAGTATCAACTCTACTTGGTTAAAGTTTTGCACAGATATTCATTTGAATTTTTATCAAACATGTCAGGATTGTAACTCTGGCAGCCAGGTTAGCCAAAAACATCTGTCCTGTTTCAGGGCCATATGACCTACATTGTGATTGTGCACCATAAAACAAAACAAACAAAAAATATAGATTCCTATTAGTTATTTATATATGCCTGTTAAGTTAGGTTTATATCAAACTTTGATATCTGTGTACATTTTTTTACATATCTCACCATCTTATATTGTTACAGTATTGAGAGAGATTGGGAGGACTGCGAGCAAGGTCAAGGTGAAGAATTCTTGTATCATTCCATTCAAGTAAAAAATATCTGGATACCCATGGGAGACGTGTTTGCTAACTAAACTTCTCCACATATCTATCATGTAGAGGTGATAATAAAGCAAATGATTTATAAGAAGAAACAGTTGACATTCCGAATTATACATGCTTGATGTTAATTTTGTTTACTATTTTTCTGAAAGAAAAAAGTTTTTTCATGACAATCTAAAGTAATTATGGGGTAAATACTTTATTTAGGTAGAAACAGCTTCAGCATTTGTTTGTTTATATTTAAATTTAGCAGATGCATTCAATTTACTTTGATGATCATGTTTAAAATATACAACTGTTTTCGTTGTTAACAAACATTTGTTGATACTTTGTGATATACACAGTTACAGTGTTGAATCTAGGACAGGGACAAAATAAGGGCACCCGACAATATATTTAGAATTAATTAGATGATCACTATTTACAAAAACTGGTTTTTTGTTTGTGATACGTTACAGAAGAACATGTATGTAAACTGTATATATATATATATATATATTATATGTGTGTGTGTGTGTGTGTGTGTATATACAAATGTATTTGTATGTATTTGGGTATTGAGCTAAGAATTTATATCCTAGAAGTTTTGGTATCTATGTAAGAATCTCTTAATTTGTTTGTTTAGTTTAATTTAGCAACCTTTTTGTTTTAATTTTTTTTTTATTATAGAACAGTATTTGCAGTGAACTTTTTTTTTACCTAAATCAGTATTTAGATTTCATAAAAAATCTCGGTGAAAACCCTCCAAAATTGTTATGGATAAAATGTTTTTGGATGGAAATTCACAAAATTTTGTTAATGTCAATCATTGTTTTGTTTGTTTTATTTTACTTTAGTTTAAGTTCCTAGTATATTAAATGATAAATTTACATATCAGAAGCGGACATTGACTGATCGATTTTTATTGAGATTTTTTTTTTTTTTTTTTTTTTTTTTTAAATTTCGATTTTGAAAGGAAGCTATTAGCTTATAGGCACACTCTGGAATCTGTACCAGTACTGAGCAATGTGTGTAAATTTTTTCTTACACAAGAAAACATCGGCTTGCCCCTGAGAAGGTTTGAACCTACACAGAAAGTGATATATAGATTACTAATGGCATGCATTTACTAGTGAATATGTTGATGTAGCTAATGTTCACATATATGTATTTTTGTTTATGTTTTACTGTTCGTAAGTTTTATGCTACTCTTATACCAAAATTGTTTTGGAAAAAAAAAATATTGTAATTGTAGATGTCAGAAATTGAATGTAAAAATTCATGTTAGATATGTATTTTATAGTACTGTTCTGTATGCTAGTCATGTACTAAAATTTAGAAAGTGTTCATACATAATTTTCATTTTTAAAAGTACTCAGGTGATATGTTATAGTCAACCTTTGTTCTCTTGTTAAAGGAACTTCACCAAGGTCAAAAAGCCAAAAACCAAAAAACATAAAATTTATATTCTTTGATCAGAGACATAGATAACATGTTATCTATGTCTCTGCTTTGATAGATCAAGTGAAACACATAAAATAGAAAAATCTGCAAAGGATAATAAAGAAATATACTCTGGATTAAATTGAATATCGATTCTTGTGCAGTTCTTAGCCAGATTATATTATTTTAGAATTATGGGGTGAGGGATTAATCAGAGAATTTGCACACAAATTATTAGTCCAGACCTACATCAAATGGTATACATATTCTAGTCCATCATGTCAAAAAACCTTTGTGGAGGCACTTTAACTTTTGTTAACAATTTCTCTTAAACTACTAGGCCAGTTCTGGTAAAACAATACAGGAATAATTCTAGGATAGTGATTTACAAAATATGTGCAGCTTTAATTTTTCCAGTCTACTGAATAAATTGGCCACTTTGCAAATGTTTTCAATATCTTTGGATATCCATGTACTTCCAGTCTCCCGTTAAATGTTTGATTCAAAGTAAATGTTAATTAAATTTCATTGAGGCATGCGTCGCCCAGTGGTTCAGGTGGTTGACTTCAACCACTTGCCCCTCACCTGTGGGTTTGAATCCTGACAGAGACTTTGAATTATTTCATATTAGGAAGCTATCGAGCGTTGGTTCTACTCAGGTGCCTGTTTGTGCATTAAGTAATGCACAGAAGGGCACCCGAGGTGTTCCTGCTCAAGAAGTCCAGATATCACTTTACAATATCACTAGTATAAGCTATAAGTGTGTGGTATATATTTATTCAGAGCTTACATTACTACCTTATTGTTTGTACATAGATATGAAGACAATTATATAGAGTATGTGTCTTCATATATTTTGACTTTTCTTTGACTAATAAAGCAAAGATATTATAGAACACGTTGTTGTATTTATTTTGTTGTACCTCTTAAAGTAAAGTATGTTGACAAAAGACCAAGTTCTATATTTCTTTCCAGTCTTGAGTTTATTCAAACATAACTTTAGATTTAGAACATTTAAATTTCAAAAGGATCAATAGCCCCAACAACACACCTTCCGTAATATTAAAGCAGCACGCATCCAGATTCATGTTAATTTTCATAAAAATTTGGGAAATGTATTTAAAAGTAGAATATTGTTAGGCGAACAAATAAAGTAATTTGTGTAATGCAATCGGCACCTACAGTCCACGAAAATAACCAAAAAGTTGTCAACACATGCAAAAACAGCTTTACTGCGTTAGAAACGCAGTAGAAATATGGTGATAAAAAACTGAAAAATCAGTCTTAAACCGCAACATTTTAAATGTAACTTGGATCTTGAATGCTTTAACCTTTATTAAAATTTTAGTACATTTTTCTCAATCTTAATATATCATAATAAGAGCAGGTCTTGAAAATTAATTTCGGACATTGAATCTAATGGTTATTGGCCTCTAACCGTTGATTCAGAAATCATGTGGGATTACAGTAGCCGGCAACTTGCGGAAACATTGGTAATTACTGGCTAGTCACCAAGGAAAGTTGGTTAGGGGGATTGACCACCGAGATATGATCATGAAATTGAGCCGTGTCACGACAAAACCAACATAATGGGTTTGCAACCAGCATGGATCCAGACCAGCCTGCGCATCCGCGCAGTCTGATCAGGATCCATTCTGTTCGCTTACAGACCCTATAACTAGTAGAGAAACTGATAGCGAACAGCATGGATCCTGATCATGCGCAGGCTGGTCTGGATCCATGCTGGTCGCAAACCCATTGTGTTGGTTTAGTCGTGACATGGCTCAAATGTGTTAAAATCGAAGTAAAAATCTTTTATTACCATACAAGCAAAAAGTGATCTACATTATACAGTTTTTATGTGTATAATAATTTAGAAATAGATACCATATCATAAATTGTTAAATATTAAAAGACATTACGATCAATAAATGCAGCACCATAATAGAATACTATTGTACTTTTTACCCATCACGATATAATAATATTTACTTATTCCGTTACGAAGAAACTAATAGTTTAAAGCTCATTATGTCTCGGAAACGAATAAATTTTTAATTTAGAAAAGGCAATCGTAATTCTTTTAACGTATACATAATAGTTTTAGAGCAAGTTAGATGTTTGTAACCTGAAGTTATAGCGATAAATGTGAAATAGTTTGTGATAAAAGTAGCAAACTGTAAACAAAGTAGTATTCTGACTTCCACACAAATACTAAATTTATATAATTATAAAAATTTTCAATAATTTCCAAAAAGCACAAGATGCTTCAGGTAACTGGCCAATGAGTAACTTTTTGAAACTATAGTACACCAAAAATAAAAGGCTTTTGAGAAATAAAATTAAAACATTTTTGAGGCATAACGCGCCATATAAATTAGCTAACATGAAAGAGTGTCTAGAAAATTATCAGTTACCCAGCTAGAAAGTATAACAATAAAATGATATTATTTAGGAATAATATCAGTCTCACCGGTTATTTAGCGGCTTGGAAGTTTTAATGCATGAAGGCCATAGAAAATGATAATGGGTAAATTTGGCATGCTTATTCTTTGGCATGAAAAAATGTTAATTGTGGATATCTTGAAAACAAGATTACTTAAACAAGAAATGAATTTTGGAGTAAAAACAACCTTTTTAACTGAATATGATATGTTTTATATTTAAAAATAGTTATCGCCTTATCATATTCTACGACCCAAAAGTAATCCTAGGCTTCTAAGACTACGTTTAATTCAGGTGTTAATGTCATCAAGGTGGCCATCTCAGGTTACTTTTTGGGTATCGAGGTCACACGATTTTCACCCGATACGAGTACAATGACTATAAAAAAAGTTTTATTGCTTTAAGGCCTCCGGTCCATGCAAAGTAACATCGCTTTAATAACGAATGACTTTCACAAAAGATATCCCTAATGCTGCCTTGCACAGCTCATATAGTATTATTAGTCTTCTCTTCGTTTTGCTTTTAACAAGAAAAAATAAGGTTCCCGTGGGCTTTATTTAAATTAAATAGTAAAATAATCATTCAAGGATTCATAGTTCTAACTTATGTAATTGTATGTTATTCTTATGTTTATAACAGAAGTCCGGCACATTTATGTATTATATTATTTAAATATTTTGCATATACATGTAAAGGTATTTGCGATATGGAGAATGATAGCCTCGACCTTAACAGACATTATAAATGCATTATAATAAAATCTTGATTTCAAGAAAGTAGCATAGAAATATAATACACGTACAAAATGTTAATACAGGTCATAGGCAATTTATTAGGTTTGAAAATATACATCATAATAGAAAACTAATAAGCAATCAAACTAGTTATACATATTCATCATAAAACATAAAGGCCCATTATGCCTCAGAAATGATTTTATGTTTTATTTTTCAAAAGCTTTTTGATTTTGGTGTACTTTATAGTATTTAAAAATGTACTCATTGGCCAATTACCGAAGCCATCTTTTTCATCTGTTGTTTTTTGGCAATAAGTACAGCTATAGTATATATGTAATTTTTTTATAGAAGTCAAAATACTACTTTGTTTTCATTTTGCTACTTTTATGACATTTTTTAACTTTTATCGCTTCTTCTTTCATGTAACAAGCATCTAAAGTTTCTGTTAATCAATAATTTAAACATAATTAAAATTCATGAGTACTAAAAATTAATAAGTTTCTAAGCATATTGCATGTAATGTGTCTTTCATAAATCATTGAAAATAATAATATAATTCTTTATATTAACTTGGTTTTATTTTTTAATTTATTTTGGTGTTGTTATAAACAGCAAACAAAAAACATAAATTCAAAAACCGTCACAACATTGAAAAATATATATATGATATTATAATTCAATTCAAATATATTCAATAAATTTATAATTCATAAAATCGAATAAACATAATATTATCATTTATTAACGTTAGTAAAAAACGTCTTTTCCTGTCAAAATTAAATTAAAGAAATTAATACAAACAATTAAAATTAACTTTTCTCATTAATTGCTCATAAAATTGGTCATGTATAATAATTGATAAAAATTAAAGTAAGAACAATATAGATTCATTTCTAGCCTTAAGCGTGTAAAACAAAAGGAAGCGACAAATTATCATAAAGATCAGGGGAGCTTTATTATCTCACAATATTGACAGATATATAATTGATATTCTTTCTACATCTTCAAATTTAATCGTCACGCAATATAATGACGTAATATTATCGATGTATTTACATGTATTTTATATTTCCGCGTGATAATATCAATTACTTAAACAATTAAACTGGACACTATAAAGTAATTATTGACAGAAAAAGGCCTAAGGTGTCATCGGACACACTATTATACGTACTATATTGCTTTTAACTTCCTCACCCAGATTGGAATCTTTTGAGCCATTTCCTTTTATTGAATGAAATGTTTTCAGTATAAAATGAAGAATAAACATACATTTGTCATCATTCAAAGTTTGTTTACAGACACTGTCGGATTACGTTTACACACACTATAACGTGGATATTTATACTTATTACGAGATGTAAGTTGCTAGGGTCCCAGGTTAATTGTTTTATCCGAGGGTTCTTACAACTTTTATCTCGTATTAGTTTGCAAGCAAGCTGTTTCGAAAATATACTTTTCTTAAATTAAGGTTACGAACGGATTATCGTTATCTGATTTGGATTTGATATTTTATCTGTAAGTTACTTGGGTCCCAGGATGAACATCTCTCCGAGGTCTTCAGTAACATACTTGTAATGTATCAGTGTAGCAACTTTATTTCAAACTGTCTGCTTAATTTCATTGGCAAAGGGACATGCGGGCTACTTTGTTTGTGACCTATGCTTATTTTGAATACGATCATTTAAAAAAGAAGACAAAAAGAAAAGAACACTAATCAGAATCTTGAAACAAAGTTACCTTGTAAGTTACTTGGGTCCCAGGGTGATTTAACAAACCGAGGACTTCTGTAACTTTCTTGCAGACTTTTGAAATTCTACAAACTGAAAATTTGAATGCACGGATATAAGGACGAGTAATTTCTCGGAATCATGATATGAAAGTTCACTTGTAAGTTACTTGGGTCCCAGGGTGATTACAATTCCCGAGGACTTCTGTAACTTTCTTGTGGACTTTTTGAAATTCTACACACTGGAAGCTCGATTGTAAATGAAAAGAGCCATTGGAAACAGTCATTTCTTGGAATATTGATATAAGTTAACTTGTAAGTTACTTGGGTCCCAGGGTGATTACAATTCCCGAGGACTTCTGTAACTTTCGTGTGGACTTTTTGAAATTCTACAAACCGGGACCTTGATTGTACATGGAAGCAGCCATTGGAAACAGTCATTTCTTGGAATATTGATATAATAGTTTACTTGTAAGTTACTTGGGTCCCAGGGCGATTATAAATCCCGAGGACTTCTGTAACTTTCTTGTGGACGTTTTGAATTCTACAAACCGGGACCTCGATTGAAGGAGCAGCCATTTCTTGGAATCTTGATGTGAAAGTTAACTTGTAAGTTACTTGGGTCCCAGGGCAATAAGATATACCGAGGACTTCTGTAACTTTCTTGTAGACTTTCTGAAATTCTACAAACCGGGACCTCGATTATACATGGTAGCAGCCATTGGAAACATTTATTTCTTGTAAATTAAAGTAAAAGTTTACTTGTAAGTTACTTGGGTCCCAGGGTGATTACACATACCGAGGACTTCTGTAACTTTCTTGTGGACTTTTTGAAATTCTACAAACCGGGACCTCGATTACAGTTGGAAAGTCATTTCTTGGAATATTGATATAAAAGTAAACTTGTAAGTTACTTGGGTCCCAGGGAGATAACAATTCCCGAGGACTTCTGTAACTTTCTTGCAGACTTTTTGAAATACAACAAACCAGGACAACGAATGTGTTGGAAACAGTAATTACTTGGAATTTTGATACAAAAGTTTACTTGTAAGTTACTTGGGTCCCAGGGTGATTATACATACCGAGGACTTCTGTAACTTTCTTGTGGACTTTTTGGAATACTACAAATCGGAACAAAGATTATAGATGGAAACAGTCATTTCTTGGAATATTGATATAAAAGTTAACTTGTAAGTTACTTGGGTCCCAGGGTGATAACAATTCCCGAGGACTTCTGTAACTTTCTTGCAGACTTTTGAAATTCTACAAACTGAAAATTGGAATGCACGGAAACTCGATTGAAGAAGGAAACAGCCATTGGAAACAGCCATTTCTTGGAATATTAACATGACATGTTTACTTGTAAGTTACTTGGGTCCCAGGGCGATTATAAATCCCGAGGACTTCAGTAACTTTCTTGTGGCCGTATTAAACACTTCAAAGATAGAAGGTTTATCAAAGAGAGGACATCTTACATGGAATCAGCGAAGCTAAGATTTACTATCATACGGGTACTTATAAGATTCGATTTTTACAAATTTCAACTGTGTATTTTTTTCCCAACTTTTATTCTAAAAAATTTCATATAACAGTAACATTATTAAAAAATTTAATATGTTAACAAAAGGGATTTCATGAACACTGTGTGCAGGATGAGAAATTTTAATTACAAAAAGGCTAACAGATATTTGAAACATATCAAGTTTTTTTTTACAAAAGATTGCCAATTTCAACAAGTTAATCTGTTGTCACTATTTGTATAGAATATTTAAAATCATGTTTTCGATGAAAAAAGAAGTCTAAATATATCTTTCTAATGTAGAAACACAAACCAGAATTTATCATTCAGTTATTTATACGAACCAGAAATCATTGTCATGAACTTCTTATCATTCTTGTTAAAATGTTTAACTTTTACTTTAGAATACATGTAGTTTATTTTGATAAATAACCGATGCAATGGGAAATTTAAGTAATTTTCTGCATTAACGCATTCAGGGTCTATTTATTCAAGTCATACTTTATTAAACGAAATAGACTGTACATTTTAATATTCTTTAGAATGTTTTTTTCTCCTTCAGTTTCAGGCAATATGTTTGATTCCAATATGCGTCAAATTCAGGATTTGTCATGTAAGTTACTGGGGTCCCGGGTTGTATAGTTTTCCCGCGGACTCTCGCGACTTGTATGGGGAATTTTGTATCGTCTACCAGATTTCAAGCTAGATGTATTGGCATCACAATGCGGTGTTTCACGTGATAGATATGTTTTGTGACCAGTAAGTTATAAGGGTCCCAGGTGTATTTTATATCCGGGGACTTTATTGACTTTCCGATCACGATACAGTTATTTTTCATACACCGCCATCGATATTCTGGTAACCTAGGCAACGCCATGGATGTCAACAAGAAGTAAGAGAAGTAAAATAGTTATGACTAGGAGGATGAATGGACCAAGATGCTGCAAATGCTGTTTCGAACATCTTACAATGAAATAGAAAAACGTAGTCACAACCAGCCTGCCCTTCCCACAAATTATAAAAGTCAACTCAAATCTAAATGGCCCCAGGTCCTTGTTTTGTTACATTCACCCAGTCAGCACTAGCATAACATATCACACACTTTCTTACCAAACCATTTTCCGTAACTATGACATTTACATATATAGTTTTACCATGTCCAAATAATTCTCTACAACTTTCTTACATTTTTATCACATATATCAATTATGGAAATTATTCGAAAAAATAATATTTGCAATTTGTACTTGATTTTCTACACGCATCGCACTGTACATACATACATGTATACGCACGCGCTTGCAGGCACACACACGTGCTTTCATATAATCAGACATTTCAGGGATGGTTTGACAAACACAGTACGCAAAGCTAGTTTCTTGCTTTTTAATTGTATTCTACAACTAACTCTATATGTCTCTGAGGTTAAACATGCATGTATTCTAAGGAGGCGGGGCTTATCACCACTGACATTAACAATTTTACAAACATTTTCTAGTCACTTGATATATTTATGTCCCTTCTTACACACAAAGCACAACACTGTCATTGTTATATGTAAATTTTATTCTTAAATAAACACAAAAATAAGAAAAACACAAAATAAGAAGTTTTAAATCTTAATAACTCATATAAGATTTCATTTGTAAAATTACAACATGAGAATAAAGTAAACAAAAAATTGATATCATAATAATAACAGCTGGCACTTCCGATTAATTCCCATTTGGTAAAGAAGGCACTCTTGCTACTACAAGATTATAGGTATTAGGAGTATTAATTTACTTAACTAATGTGCCCACCTGTATTTGTATTATGCTAAAGTCTGGAATTCATTTGAAGGGATTTCAATATCAATGAATTTGACAATATCAAAACAATACAACTGACAAGCCCATAGCATATCTGGTTAGATAACAATGCAGATTGTTCACACACTCTTTTTTGTCGCTAAAAAAAGCTCAACTTAATTCAACTGAATTTCTTTTATGTTGATTAATTCTGAATGTACCAGTAAACTAAAGCAATTATACATGTATGTACTCAAGCCAAATTTCTAAATATTAAAAACAGTGGAATAGCTTTAATCTCAAGTTAAAATGAATCAAACTAAAGTGCCAGCATTGAAGTAAAAATAATAATAGTTGAGGATTGTGTAGAGTTGTCATGCTTGTGTATGTATATAGAGGTACTCATGTTCTCATTACCACTCTTGTTATAATATAGAGGTTTTCATTACCACATCTTGTGCTATATATAGAGGTTTTCATTACCACATCTTGTGCTATATATAGAGGTTTTCATTACCACATCTTGTGCTATATATAGAGGTTCTCATTACCATGCATTGTTATGATATAGGTTTTCATTACCACACTACTATTATGATATACCGGTAGAGGTTCTCATTACTTCATTTTGTTATGTTAACATTGCCACAGCTTGTGCTATATATAGAAGTTCTAAATGCAAGACTCTTGTTATGATATACAGGTTCTCATTACAACCCTTGTTATGATATAGAGGTTCTCATTGCCACACTTGTTATGATAAAGAGGTTCTCATTACCACCCTTGTTATGATATAGAGGTTCTCATTACCACCCTTGTTATGATATAGAGGTTCTTATTACCACCTTGTTATGATAAAGAGGTTCTCATTACCACCCTTGTTATGATATAGAGGTTCTCATTACAACCCTTGTTATGATATAGAGGTTCTCATTACCACACTTTTGTTATGATATAGAGGTTCTTATTACAACCCTTGTTATGATATAGAGGTTCTCATTACCACCCTTGTTATGATATAGAGGTTCTCATTACCACCCTTGTTATGATATAGAGGTTTTCATTACCAACCTTGTTATGATATAGAGGTTCTCATTACCACCCTTGTTATGATATAGAGGTTCTCATTACCACACTTTTGTTATGATATAGATGTTCTTATTACCACCCTTGTTATGATATAGAGGTTCTCATTACCACCCTTGTTATGATATAGATGTTCTTATTACCACCCTTGTAATGAAATTCAGGTTTTCATTACCACACTTTTGTTAAGATACAAAGGTTGTCATTACCACATCTTGATCTCATTGCCACAGTCTTGTTGTTATGATATAATACTTCATGTTTGCCCTTACTCTGCTCGGACCAACAGTGATAAACTTTTACCAGGCCAGCCAAGACTTAAATGCAATCTGACCATGCTCTTAACTCATGGTGGTTCAACTTATTTTTGATACTAAAAAACCTTAGTATTTTGATATCAAGACTATATCATCAGATTACTGGTTAACAGTCGCACTGTATGACCAAATATAATTAACATATATTCTACTTAAAATACACTATATATACATGTTTATAATACTGCTCGTTTGTAATATCGCATTTCATTGGATAATCTAAGGATTTTTTGCATTATTTTGTTATAAAAATGTCTGACATGTTATATGGCTGTGCATAAATGGTTGTTTGCAATATAACACTCACCTAGTTGCTCAGGTTATATAGAACCTAACAACCTTATAAACTGAGTCATATAACCTGTCAGCATCTTTGTAAATACTTACATCTATTTTACTTTGAGTAATAAATAGCTTTCACTCATGTATTAAATATTTCATTACAATTACCTTTTAAAGGCCCATTATGCCTTAGAAATGCTATAATATTTATTTTTCAAAAACTTTCTATCTTTGGTATTTTGTCACTGTTTCTAAACTAAAACTCATTTGCCATGTACATAAACAATATTTTGCTCTGTTTGCAAATGATATATTTAGTCAAAATGTAGGTCAAAATACTACTTTGTTTACATTTTGCTACCTCTACGACACATAACTAACGTTTTGGAAACTTTAAAGGGCATAAAAAATAAAAAGTTAGTAAGAAATAAAAATGGTAGCATTTTTAGGGCCTTTAAAATATCACTTTAGAAATGACACTGTACTTAAATGTTATATATATTTTGATTGTACAAGAACATTATCACATCATGAGACATGGATTTCCTATCTGAATCTTCATTAAGCTGTAGACTATACATATCTAATTAACATATATAACATATGCTAACTTATTACCTCTATAATACTACAAACAGCACCTTGCATCATTAAATCATTTGTAATACTAATAAATATAGTAAACAACTTTAAACATTCTAGTATATTGAAGTGGCAGCATGGACAAGTAATAAACACATCTGACTAGTAATCTAAGGTTCTCTAGCCGCGTGGGTTCAAAGTTCATCAGGGGAAAGCCGTTGTTTTTGTTATCAAGGAACTTTACACTCATTGCTCAGTACTGGTTGGTGTCAGGGATGTATAAGAGTATATAAGGTTACAGCATCCTACACTCTCAACTAAAATGAATTCTGAATAAAATAAGTTCTTTATCAATTCAAATCTCACCTTTCCTTGTTTTCTGTCCATAACAAAGTTCAAAGTGCATGGGGAAAAAAAAGAGTTAAATCTAAATCAAACATATTTACTAAGCTGTAACAGAAAAAGAGAATGATAAAGAATATAATATTTTTGCTCAAGTTGTTTTGATACTCCAAAAGCTTTGTACATGAACTGTCCAAAAAGAAATGAAAAATCCATTAATAAAGTCCAAAATGGCAAAATTGAAAATGTTGCAGGCTTGGCTTCATTGAGCTTGTTCATCTACAAGTATTGGAAAGTGCAAGCTACCGTCCACGCCTCCTAGCACAGAATTAAGCAGAATTCAACATTCAACATGAAATAGCAAATTTTGAATTTGATAAAAATTTGCAGATGTGTTCATATAGCTGTGATCATTGCAATTCAATTAAAAGGGGCGTATGGTCCCAAAGTAAACCCGATATTATATAACTGCTCACTCATTGCACAATATATCATCAAAGAAAGTAACTAAATAACTGATATATATAACTGTTTTCAAAATACTTATTAATACTTTCAGAAAAATATGGTTAGATCAAAGCAACTGGAAGTGTCACAAACAAAGATTTGCCACCAATAAGAAAGGTTGAAATTCCCTCCGAATGCCAGAGACCATATGCACACAGAAACATTATATGTTATTTTGGTTTTGGAGTGATATATGTGGATATATTACCTGTTAAGATTTTATATCACCCGAGCCGTTAGGCGAGGGTGATATTTTATCTTGGCAGGTAATATATCCACATATATCACTCCAAAACCAAAATAATAATTTTATTACCCTTCCCCTGCCGAGTTTAGACGATTTTTTAAAAAATCATTGCTGTTTCAAATGAAACGTCGAAATAAGATTCCCTTTAGAGTACCCCTTCGTCACAACATGACGTCACATAAATACATGACGTGTTTTTCCCGTACCTAATAAATGTAAACAAGAGAAAAGGAGTAGTCTATTAAACGCACTTTTTTGTAATTAATATCAAGCTTTCACAAGGTCATATTTGTTTTCGATACTGATGGTAATATGTATCATTACTCTACTTTTGTAAATATTTATCATTTGACAGTTAAAAAGTGCTTTTAAATCGGAATTTACACCGCGTAAAATCGAACCGTACGCGCATCACCTCAGCGCATGTTGTTTACAACGTTGGGTACCCAACGGGGAAATTTAGTGTGTATATTACCCGTCTGGCTCGGTTATATCAATTTCTTTCGGGTGATCAATATCCAATCAAAAAGGCGGAAAAAATCTGGAAGGGTAATAAATTCCTCTATTTCTAACATATGAAGAAAGACAACAACAATGGCCATATATAAATACCTAAAAAGTAATTAAATTTAAAACAAAAGCCTGACAATATATGTATGCAATAGGACACTTGATGACAATACTGCAACAGTTGCACATAGACTTGAAAAGGGCTGTAAATTCACTAAAATGATTAAATCACAAAGCCCTCATTAAAATGCGGCTCAAAATCTTAAATTTCATTTATAAAAAGCCATTTTTAAGTAATAAATGGCCATAACTCATAAATACACACATTTTAACAATAACTAAAGAGCAACATTTCCTAACTATTAAACATTCTTGCCGAGTTTTATTATAATCTAATGAACCACTGGTAAAATATGCCTTAAAACAGTAATTGCCAATTAAAAATGCCTTATATATCAAGGGCTATAATTTTGATGAAACTTAGTGATCCTCATCTTCTATTTCATACAAACATTTCTGCCAAAAATGTGACAAGCTGATTGGAAGGTGTGGACCCTGACAGACTTCCAGACAACACCATTTTAATATTACCACCTTCTCATTTATCAAAGGGAGGTAATAAAAATGATAATAATTAATTGATTTTTCATCACTGGAATTATTAATTTCAATAACCCTGTAGTTTTCAGTTTGTTGCACTGAAAATGTCTGTTTCCGTTCAATCTTATTCTTCCAGTTGACTTCATGTAGCCCCAATATTTCTTCTGTACTTTATTTTCCCATTATATGTATATATTTCCTTCTCACTCATATATATATATATATATATAAGTTTGTATTTTGATCTTTTACTAGTATAAATTCATGTGTTTTACATGCTAAGAGTTTTTACATGCTAAGAGTTTATGTGTTTATCATTGTATAAATTCATGAAATGATCATGGTATAAGTTCATGTGTTGATATAAGTTCATGTGTTGATATAAATTCATGTGTTGATCATGGTAAGAGTTCATGTGTTGGTCATCTATTCAGTTTAATGATGGTATAATATCCTCCTTCCATTTAACTTCAATCGTCGGCCATTTTGTCAACAAGACCATTTTCATAGGTGTAACATCACTCAATAATTGTACCTCGATATCATCTTGTAATACTGCACTACATTCATGATACATTACCTGTAAAACATAATTAAATAATATGTTACACTCATGATATGTTACATGTAATACATAACTAAATATGTTACACTCATGATATGTTACATGTAATACGTTACACTCATGATATGTTACATGTAATACATAACTAAATATGTTACACTCATGATATGTTACATGTAATACATAACTAAATATGTTACACTCATGATATGTTATATGTAATACGTTACACTCATGATATGTTACATGTAATACATAACTAAATATGTTACACTCATGATACGTTATATGTAATACGTTACACTCATGATATGTTACATGTAATACATAACTAAATATGTTACACTCATGATATGTTACATGTAATACATAACTAAATATGTTACACTCATGATATGTTATATGTAATACATAATTAAATATGTTACACTCATGATACATTCTTTGTAATACACAACAAAACATGTTACACTCATGATATTTTATATGTAATACACAACAAAACATGTTACACTCATGATATGTTATATGTAATACACAACAAAATATGTTACACTCATGATATGTTATATGTAATACACAACAAAATATGTTACACTCATGATATGTTATATGTAATACACAACAAAACATGTTACACTCATGATATGTTATATGTAATACACAACAAAATATGTTACACTCATGATATGTTATATGTAATATGCAACAAAACATGTTACAATATAATACACTCATGATATGTTATATGTAATAAACAACAAAACATGTTTAACTCACAATATATTACATGAATATTATAGTATAATATGTTACACTCAATTACATGTTGCATAAATTAAGTGATTCCCAGATCAGGACAAATTCTGACCCTGGAAATGCATTATATTTTTTTTGTAAAGGACTACAAAGTGATGCTATGGATACATTTCAAATATTTACAACTTATGCATTAGAATTTTAGAAATATACAATTTTTAAGACATGTTAGTCTATATCAATTATGTGACCCTTTAGGGTAGGCCAGAGCATGTTTAAGATTACTTTTGTTAACACCTATTAAGCAATACTTATGTATATGCAAAATCATTATGCTTTGGGCTTTTTTTTTTTAAGATTTTGTTTTTGTAAAATGCGTCATCTTCATGATTATAAATGACCAAGCATAACTTTTCTAGTATCTTATTATCTTCAATGTTTATTATTATTTACATTTACATGTACCACTAAAAATATTTCAATTTTTACCTTTTTATCATGGCATGATCGTGGAAGACCATTGTAATGGTACAATGTAAATTTCTTTGGTACTTCTGGAGTTGTTTCCCCTGCAAAGAACTCTTCAAAGAAGCTGTTCTGTGTAATGATACCAAGGTTCTCCGAGTCTAACTTAGATGCCATTATATCTACACTGTAAACAAAATCATTCTGTTTAATATCTAAATCAGACAATTATATAACAATAGAGATATAAGCTCGTAACCCCAACTATTATAATCATAGCAAACTATAAACCTCTCCAATGCAATTTTTAGGTACGAATATTACACACGGAAAAGAAAAACAATGTAAAACACCCCCCCCATTTCCTTTTATGCCCCTCTTGTCTACCGGATGTGTAAAAAATTTAAAATTTTGCCCCATTTTCCCAATTTTCCACTTTAGTCTTTTGTGGGTTCCTTTCAAATTGACCCAAAAAGAGTGTTAGGTAATAAAATGAATAAAGAACTTGTTAAGAGAAGCATAGCAAAGTACTTAATTATATTGACCTTTCCCATCCTCATAAATAAAATTAAAGTTGATTTTATATTTATCATATTCTCCAGTTTTTAAGTGGAAACAGCCGTAATATTAAAGTTTACTATGGCCTAGGATAAATTTTGCATCACTTTAGGATGGAACCATCTATGACTGGATTACAAATCCAATGCTCTCCCTATTGAGCTAAGAGAGCATGGGATGATAGTAGGCTTTTTGAAAAAAAGGTAGAGCCTAAATATAACAATAGGTGACAACTGTAAAATTAAACTGAAGAATATCTTCTATATACTTACTATTCTTTATCAGACACTAGATCTAAAGCTGCCAGTAGATCACCTAGTACAATTGTTGCTATAAAGCCATTACCTACAACATATAAATGTTTATAATAACTCAATGTATAAACATCATACTAACATCAGAACTTACATCATACTTGACTACTTTTTGTCCTTGATGGTAAAACAAGAGCCATGAAGATCTCATAGAGAAACATTAGCTGTACGTAAGACATGTGCTCGACTATTTTCAGTGCTCGACAGTAAGAAAAGGGGCATAACATACTGTAAGAGTAAGTAGGTTACTCAGAATTATGGGACCTGTGCCAATCATTGTTAGATTAATAATATCTGTCATACTTTGCGGTTCAGATAGGAATATCCGTCCCGAGGTGACCCGCCCATTGGGCGGTAACGAGGCTTGCCGAGTTACCGCCCATGGGCGGGTGACCGAGGGACGGATATTCCGATCCGAACCGCAAACATATGTCAGATATTTTTTCTTGCATGTTCTACCATATTCCATTATATTTTAAATTCTTTATCTTTATTTTCAATGAAAATTTATATCATTACAACCGTAACTACTTTCATTCAACAGCGCATGAATTACAAAATCATTCATAACGGTAAAATGACGTCATCTTTATCGTGCCATTGTACAGCACGCTACTCATCTGGAACCCCCCATGCCAGATGAAATTTCCGGCATGGGTAAAACTAAAGGAAACGCCAGTCTGATATGCAAGAAAATCACAGAGAACAAGTGTTTGAAGTTTCAACCGGTTCCTTTAGGTAATTTTTGTATATACAAACTTGCATGCAAAAATTTCACCAAAGCGCTATGACAAGGATAACACCAATGCCACTCAGGATAAGTATAACAGTTGCAACTATTCTTTGAAGAGTCAAACTAATAATCTTTAATTACTTAAATGGCGAAACAAGATATGCAAGATATTCAATATATGATATATGATTGCAAGAACAAATTATATAACTATTCTTCATTGTTTATGTAGTAAAATAAACAACAAAATAGCTTGATTATTTACCTTCTGGATCAAATGATTGGAAAATTCTCCTAGCACTTGACTCTAATGTTTCTGTGATTACTAAATTTTTATTCTGAAAGACAAATATAAACTTAATTAGGATACAGTTACTAAATCATAAATAAATAACACAGATGAATGTACTAAAAAATACAGGCCATCCTGATTAAATAAACATTTTGATACCATGATTGCAATAGATTTAAGAAATCTTGCCTTATAAGTTTTATAATGCATGGTTCCTTGTTCAAATGCTTTGTAATTAATCACCCAGGCCTATCAGCCTTCATGATTATATACCTGCACATTTGAACTTGAACCATGCATTATTCTACAACAATGCACTCAAAATTGATATTTATTTATCTAAATATAGCATGATATATATACAGCACAAAATTAAAAAAATAACAACAAGAGAACCAAGACAGCCCTTTGTACTATTCTTTGGGTTTGCTCACCTAGTAAAACAAGAGGGCCATGATGGCCCTAAGGTCGCTCACCTGTATGTAGGCCCCCGGAGCGGGGCCAGTTTAAACCCCAGGGCTTTTATTTGAACAAACTTGGAAGACATCTATAAGAAAACGTTTCATGATGTACACACTTATAATGAAAAACAATGATCTGCCCTCCCCTACCCCCGGCAGGGCCAATTTTAACCAAGGGCTTTTATTTGAACAAACTTGGTAGACACCCATAAGAAGATGTTTCATGCTAAACATCTAAGCTGTAGCTCATTGTGTTTTTTTTAAAAGAAGATTTTTTAAGTTTTTACTATACACATATAGTTAAAAACAATGACACCCCTGGGGCGGGGCCAGTTTTGACCCCAGGGCTTTTATTTGAACAAACTTTGTAGACACTTACTAGAACATGTTTCATGCTTAATATCTAAACTCTAGCTATTTGGGTTTTTTCAAAGATGTTTTTTAAGTTTTTCCTATACACATATAAGGAAAATCATGACCCCCAGGGCAGGGCCAATTTTGACCCCAGGGCTTTTATTTGAACAAACTTTGTAGACACTCACTAGAAGATGTTTCATGCTTAATATCTTAACTCTAGCTATTTAGGTTTTTTCAAAGAATACTTTTTAAGTTTTTGATATACACATATATAAGGAAAATCAATGACCCCCGGGGCGGGGCCAATTTTGACCCCAGGGCTCTTATTTGAACAAACTTGGTAGACACCCATTAGACCATGTTTCATGCTAAATATCTTAGCTCTAGCTCTTTGAGTTCTTTAAAAGAAGATTTTTTAAGTTTTTACTATATACATGTACATATAGCGAAAATCAATGACCCCCTGGGGCGGGGCCAATTTTGACCCCAGGCTTTTATTTGAACAAACTTGGTAGACACCCATTAGAACATGTTTCATGCTAAATATCTTAGCTCTAGCTCTTTGAGTTCTTTAAAAGAAGATTTTTTAATTTTTTACTATATACATATTGGGAAAATCAATGACCCCCTGGGGCGGGGCCAATTTTGACCCCAGGGCTTTTATTTGAACAAACTTGGTAGACACCCATTGAACATGTTTCATGTTAAATATCTTAGCTCTAGCTGTTTGAGTTCTTTAAAAGAAGATTTTTTAAGTTTTTACTATATACATATAGGGAAAATCAATGACCCCCTGGGGCGGAGCCAATTTTGACCCCAGGGCTTTTATTTGAACAAACTTGGTAGACACCCATTAGAACATGTTTCATGCTAAATATATTAGCTCTAGCTCTTTTGGTTCTTTAAAAGAAGATTTTTTAAGTTTTTACTATATACATATAGGGAAAATCAATGACCCCCCTGGGGCGGGGCAATTTTGACCCCAGGGCTTTTATTTGAACAAACTTGGTAGACAACCATTAGAACATGTTTCATGCTAAATATCTTAGCTCTAGCTCCATGAGTTCTTTAAAAGAAGATTTTTAAATTTTTACTATATGCATACAGGGAAAATCAATGACCCCCTGGGGCGAGGCCAATTTTGACCCCAGGGCTTTTATTTGAACAAACTTGGTAGACACTCATTTGAAGATGTTTCATGCTAAATATCTTAGCTCTAGCTCTTTGGGTTCTTTAAAAAAAGATTTTTTTTAAGTTTTTACTATATGCATATAGGGAAAATCAATGACACCCTGGGGCGGGACCAATTTTGACCCCAGGGCTTTTATTTGAACAATCTTGGTAGACACTCACTAGAAGATGTTTCATGCCAAATATCTAAGCTCTAGCTCTTCGGGTTCTTTAAAAGGAGATTTTTTAAGTTTTTACTATATACATATAGGGAAAATCAATGACCCCCTGGGGCGGGGCCAATTTTGACCCCAGGGCTTTTATTTGAACAATCTTGGTAGACACTCACTAGAAGATGTTTCATGCCAAATATCTTAGCTCTAGCTCTTTCAGTTTTTTAAAAGAAGATATTTAAAGTTTTTTCTTTTGGTTGCCATGGCAACCAGAGTTCTGCATGGAATTAAATTCTTTGAACAATTTTTAAAGGTGACCACCAAAGGAACATTCCTGTGAAGTTTGGATGAAATTGGCTTAGTGGTTTATGAGGAGATGTCATTTAAAGTAAAAGTTTACGGACGGACGGACGACGGACGGACGCCGGATGAAAAGCGATCACAAAAGCTCACCCTGTCACTTTGTGACAGGTGAGCTAAAAACAAAACTCAATTTACTGATACTTACACGTCTAATAATAGAGCAATAGCAAAAATGATTTGTCTCAACTTATTTTGCAAGGTGTTAATAAGATAAGTTATTCTATGCAATACATACCTTAGAAAACAAGACTGTTAAATGAGTTTCACTTCCTATTAACCAAACTGGATACTCGGGATTCTTTAAATTCCAGCCTACCTTTGATAAAAATATATAAGTGGTAAGATAAAAACTGAGGTAATATAAATATTGCCACTGATTCTTATAATACTCAAACTCATTATCCCCTAGTGGAAGTCACCCAAGATACAAGGTCACCAGTGTATCTTATTGATAGCAGGAACTGCCTCAACTTTAACAGCTTCTAGAATATGACCCCTAACACATACAAGTGGGATGCTTTGGTTTTACAAATTGATAACAAAATCTGGTAATGATAATTTGGAATCAGTTTTTTTAAACTTAATGTCTTGTATTTGATTTTTAGCACTAAAATTATTTCACAATGTATGCAAATAACTTACTTCACAATATCTTAAATGTTCCATGAAAGATAAAAATCCTATATATGCTCTTTTACATACTCCATGTAATTCTGAAACATTAAACAAAGATATTATGAATTCAAGTAATATATTAACAACTAACATATTTATGCAATATTTGATTTGACTTTCACATCAAAACTGATTTCACTTGTGAAAGTTTTTGAAATACCATAGCTGTAAACATTTATCTATAGAATATTGAATTAAAAATCTGAATCTATTAGCTTTTTCAGAAGTTCAGATTTTTTATGTTGAGAAATAAACTGACAGGAATTAACATTGGGAAGATAAAATCTATAAAATCTTTATAAAAATGTTAAGACAGCTGATCATTATATGGTGAGAAAAGAATACACATTGAATTTTCAGATATAACATGATTTCTGGCATACATATTTATTCAGAATAACTGTAATTCATAAGATTATTGATTTGCAAACTTTAAAACTTACTTAAACCAGAGACATCTTTATCGTTATCCCATACATTAGTGACTGCTTTACTTGTTATAAGTAGGTTGATTAAACTTTGGCTGAAATGACAACAAATTTCTGGAATCAAAACAAATTTAAACTTATATTCTATCAGTGTTACACAGAACACCACAAGTACAGTCAAAGCTGGATTCACATGGCCTTATGTTTAAATCCTCGTAACAAGTACAGTAGAGGCTGTGTCTTTATGAACTTAAGGTTTATAATGCTTATTTTTAAGAACTTGTCAAATTTTATTCAACTTGCCCTTGTTGGTTACAAGTACATGTACCTATCTAACTTACAATGTAACTTGCCCCATCTCATTGTGGATCATACATTACTTAACCTCTCCCTCCCCTGTCCCTCCCCTAACTGGTAATTCCAGGAAATTGACTGAAGACCAGTTATAATAAGCATCAAATAATATTACTGTTCATAAATTTTATGAAGAGATATTTCATTATATATAGCTTTATACCCTTTAAATAAGGAAACAACAAAATACAGATAATTTGATAATTTTACCTGCCATGACCATATATACCATCTATAAGAGGTTCCCCAGGGTCCTCTACCTCATTCTTTATTTGTTCTATACCCTAAAATATGAAAACAAATATTATATAAACTTTACATATAGTAATACATACATACAAACAAAATACTGTCAATATGACAGTGTGAATAACTATTCTCAGTGCTTGATAGTAAAACAAGAGCCTGGATAATGTAGTAATTAACAAAGATGTTGATTTCATTCCAAAGAATTTTGTAAGTTTACAAAGGGCCATAATCCAATCCAGAGTTATGGGTCTTTGCAACTGACCTGCAATTGTACAATTGAATTCCGAAGACATAAATCAAGTTTCAAGCGAGTACCATCAATGTTGCATGAAAAACTTAAAACAAGATTTTTTTAAGTTCACATAAAACCATAAATCAATCAATGTCCATGCCAGAGTTATGGGCCTTGCATAGCGATCTCTAATTATGATCAAATCCTTGATGACATGTGTTCAGATTCAACTGAATATCTTCACTAGTTTGGAAGATGTTGCATGCACAATTTTAACCAAGAATTTTCTAGTTCAAAAAGGGCTATAATTCTGTTAAATTCAATGTCAGAGTTATGGGCCTTGAATAGTGGCATTCAATTATGATCCTAAAGACATGTGTAAAGTTTCAAGAGAACATCTTTAGTAGTTTTGAATGCAAAACTTTTAACCAGAAACTTTTAAAGTTTAGTAGAGTCCATAATTCTGTCAAAATCCATGGTAGACTTATGGGTCATGTATAATAGTGACCTCCAATTATGATCTCAAAAAGTAACAAGTAACAAGCAAATACAATGTACATACATCTTCAGTAGCTGATGAGTTGTACCAGAATTTGCATTTAAAACTTAAACCAGCACAACACCAACACCTGTAAGAGTAGGAGAGCCCCACTTTTCTTCAAACAGTCAAGCTAAATATACACACATTAAAGGTCAAACTGTTAAAATATATGATCACAAATTCAAAACACTGACAAGTTTATCATAAATAAATAAAGTGAAAAATGAATCTTTCATTATGCTTCAAATTTAAAAATAAGAATCTCTAGTATATACTTATAAAATTAAATATTGATGAAATAAAATGTGTATTTTCATTTTCCGTATTAGAACTGTAAAACATTTATTTTTCACTGCAGTGAAACATATTTTCCATATTTTCACTGGTGTTTTGCTGGACTACTTTCTTCTAAATTCAGACAATGTACAAATTTAAGGGGGATTCTTTTAAATTGCAATATCAAAAAGAAAAAGAAAAAGTTTTTTCTATAAATACTGAGTTTATTTTCATCTTGTGATAATATTCTGTATTTATTGACTTGCATATCCTCTATGTATAAACTTAATTAAACTAAAATGAAAATAGGGTATATACTTTGGTAATGATAATAGAGTATAGGTACAAGAGTACACCAGAAGGTCCCATAAATTCTTCTATGCTCGTCTTCATGTTCCTCCTCAACATATCTTCATCTAAACACTTTGTACATCTGCAATAGTTAAACATAACAGTCATAATGATATTATTATATAAAACATTTTACTATTACAGTATCTAAAAAGTACGAGCATGTAACACATGTACAACACAGTTAAGATTCAAAAGTTTTAGTTAGAGGGGGAAAAAAAGTAAATAATAATTAATAATGATGAGAAATTTTGCATCACATGTGTAGATCCATGATAGTGTATGTATATAGTATTGTATAATGCTGTATTCACTTGGTACTGTTTTAACTGAAACATTCTGGTTTTAACTGAAAAAGCTTTCATGTTCCGTTTAGTGTTAAATGGGTGATGCTTTCTTTGTTATTTTATAAATGTCAATTTTTCTGAAGGAGACAAAATGTCAAAAGCTAAGAAACATGTTTGTTTTTATTGAACTGATAATATATTAGTTATAGCGGGGACACAGAACTTTTCTGAAACTTCTATTATCCAATATTGTGCAATTTGTAAATAAAAATTGGCACAATGTCTGATTGACATAAACATTTGACATACCATCATTAACTGTATTAGTTTCAGCAGATATTTAACAAATTTATGATTCAAACCTATTACATTAAGGTGTGGCATTTATATTTAAGTAGTGCACTTCATGCGTAAATCTTTCACAGATTCAGATAGCAGTAAGGAGCCTCTTGATAATAGCTTACATTGCTTTATTAAATATCACACAAACATTTGACTAATGACCACCCAAACATGGAAAACTAGTAAAATGCCAAACCCCTTTCTTGAATATTCAAATATGCATTAACCCGTTTTGACTATTTTTGTGTAATCCTCTGTCAAAAATCTTTGATCCACACCTGCACATGAAATATAAAATTCTACATTATTTTTCCTAAGTACAACCAAGAGATAGCGTGTGGACACAAAATTTGTCCTAATTGAACTTCAGGACACTTAAAATGTAGGTTCTGCTGGTTGATTCACATTAACCTAAATATCAGTTACGTGAAATAACATGATATTCCTTAATGTATATTAAAAGTGGTCTCCTTTATAAATTCAGTCCAACATCCTATCATATTTGAAACTTGTAAATGAAACAGAAAATAAAATTCAAAAACCAAACATTTACCCTAAAACCAACCCTAACAAACATTTTTGAACACAGTCCTGTAAGACGTTACCTTAATTTGGAATGGAACATTTCTTGGTCCAGTCTAGATTTTTTACATGAACTCTCCCCTGCCTCACTTTGGTTACTGCTCTCTGATTGGTTATTGCTATCACATGACCCATGTTCAAGACTAAGGATTGTGTAAGCCCCAGAAGAAACATGTACAAATATATCACATAATGCCTGCAGCAAAAGTTCTGTACTTTCCTCCACTGAAAATCATAATTACTCATATATTATACATGTATATGCACAGAACACAATACACACTAAATTACTTAACATTCTTATGAATAATATATTGATGATTTATTTGTTGATTAGGCCAAGTTAACACATATTTAGTCATATCTGGCAGTTTATCCACATAACTAACCAGAAATTATCAATTTCTCTGCAAGTGATCAACTTCTAATCCCTCATAAATGTGAGACAAATGACCGTTAGAGTCCATGTCTGGTATCAACTTATAATACTGGTTAGTTATCTAGGAAAGCTGGTCTTTGTGTGTATAAAAATTCAATTCATGTTAAAAAAAATTAAATTCATTTTGTGTTGTGAGAGATAGGCTTTAAATATTTACCTGTTACTTGTGACAAATCTTCTACAGGATGTTGACTGAATAGAGCATTTTTAATAACAAATCCTTGAACAGGGGCAATTACAGCACAAGGTCCACCTTCATACTGTACTAAAGCTGTGCTCTCATTTTCACTAAATGCAAATCCTGAAGTAACAAAGACAGTAATATATGTGGTAAAACATGTAAATATACAATTGTATACTAATAATTTAATGACCAAAAAAGATTTCTGTTTGTATACAAGCAATATTTTAACTTGCTTAATGCTTTATCAATATACCATTTAGACTGAAAGTCAGTTTAAGTGACAGGGGTGCATCACAATAAGTTTTCAATCATTTCATTAAAATGTGTTTGTAGTTCAGCATAAACTTGTTATATCACTATACAGTTAAGCTATTTACAAAAATGTAGGTACCACTGGTTGTACAACAATCTAAATAAAATTATCATTATTGTATCATTCCTTGTGTTTATTTATTACATTTAATTATTATTTATTGACAGAATATCAAGCTCTTGTGCATGAACAATTTTGAGTATTGAACTTTACTCCAAGGACCATTAGATAAAAGTTTGGTATACACTTAAAAAAACTCCCCTGCAAGGTTTGATACAAAATTTTTGCAACATTATCTCACTTTTTAAAAGCTTAAATTTACTTTTACTTTTCAGATCTGTGATTTTCTTGCAATTTATTCATTTTGTTATAACATACATAGTAAAGTGCAAAAGAATACAATGATGGAGATTTATTAAAAGCTTCTATTAAAAGTAATTGGCATTTTCCCAATTAAGTGAGAAAATCATGGCTAACTTCTCAGGTGTAACCCCTGCATGTCATCTATGATCTATCATTAGATGTTGTGGTAAGTATATTGACAGCATTATACTTTTACAAAGTAATGTGAAATTGATACTTTTCGATCGGCTAACCCTTACCTAATTTCAAACTTATCAATTCTAATTTGTATTTTCATTAATTCAATAAGATAGTCGTGTTTTTAATCCAAAATTTTCACTGTCCGGGTATGCATACACTTCAGAATAGTTTACCTTGCATCCATCTTAAAAAGACTTCATCTTTCAAATCGTCACCCCACAAAAGTTGTTTTACATCTGCTATTATTCCAGGATCCAAAGATGTAATACATTCAGCCATTTTACGAAAATCTATGAATATGTCTATAATTTCTAAAATAAATTACACTTTTTCCGCCATATTGGATACCATCTGAATAAACTCTCGTGACCGGACATGAACCGGATAAACAAGAGGGCCATGATGACCCTGAATCGCTGAATATAGAAACTCTCTATGACAACATTGTAATCTCTAAACAAAAGCAGATCTATATAAAATCGAAATCTTAAACTGATATAACAAAGTTCGTATTTGTATCCGAAACAGTGAATGTGTAAAATCATAACGGGTTCCCATTGCCAAGGGAAAACAACAGTTCCATATAAGACTGCACATATAAGGAAATCAATGACCCCACAGGTGAGCTAAAAAACAGCTATTTTGTTGCGTGGAAAACAGCTAACTTAGACATTGTATTACGAGAGATCAATATGCAGATATTCTTTGTTTCATCAGACACATTTAACCTCAATATAGATATTTCAAACGACAAACTAGGATTAATTTTGATTGGAATAGCCTGCAATTTTCACAGAGTATATGCCAAAGAGATTGATTCTGAGCAGAAAAGTAAGTCTCTGTACAGCGATCAATGTGACCTATAACGAATAGTAAACTTTGGACTAACATATACTTTCTACTCCTCCCCGTCGCCCCTACTTACTCTGTGACTTACTCGACTTCAGCCAGTACATCGGCAGCTAAATAGTAAAATTTCCGGATGGGCTTAACTCCATCCAACTCCATATTTAAGTGATAGTTTGGCTGTAGGATTTGCCCTCTGCCTTTGTTAGAATCAAAGCAAAGGTTTTCATTTAAAAAGAAACAATGAAAATATAGTAGGTTGAGTCTTACGAACAACAGCTGAAAAGATATTTCAAAATGTAAACAAACATATCGTAGTGAATGTTTGAAAATAAATCCAATTGTTTTAAGATATTTCACTGTGCAAGGGTGCATTGTTTCATCTCCTTCATAGTCATACGTGTATTGAAGGTTCTAAATAAAAATAAAGTCTACGATATTGTAGTCTGGTGACTATTCCAGGCACGAAATACGCTTCCTTCGCAGCTTACTGAATACACTCCCGTTACTTCAGAAAGTAAGAAAGTGAGCGATAGTAGAACATTCGGCCGATGCGCAGGAGAGTAGGCACGAAAATGACTGTGGACATCTAACACCTAACAACCCTTTTGAAATTCTCCAGCGACTCCTGGATTATTTATCCGATGCTCTCTCCCTATAGAGCTGGGCGGACTTATAAATACTGAATTTATCCAATAGATATCGATGAATATTCTGTATATTAATAACAACGAATACGTGTTTTCAAGGAGATGTTTAGGTATTTATGAATGTGTAATAAAGTTAAATTAATCTTAAAGTTTGTTTTTTTTTACATGAGGGGACTGGAAATAATTTGTCAAAATTAATGTTCCATTTCATGAAGGTCTAGACAAATAATTTGTTTTGGAAAACTGCAGATCATTCGCTCACTCAGTTTGTCATGAATAATAATTCTAATTTTGAAAAATGACACAAAATTGACATCGTTGCAACGCAACCGTTGTTTCTAGGTAATTACATCTCACTTTCCTAGAATTGTAAATACATTTTATATGACCACTTCCAGCCAAAAAAATGGGGGCGGGCATAATGAGCAGGAAATAATACATTGAAAAGGCACGAATAAATAAGATATGATAAATAAATAAATAAATAAAATAAATCGGCCAGACGCAGCTTGGTTTCGAACCATTCGAAAATAATGTTTTATGATGTTTCCTCGACAAGGCTTAAAATTGGACTTAATATTTCACGTGCCACTTACACGGTTAAAATCATTAAAAAGCAAGATAAATTGATATACATAATTGTATATGATCATGCATTAATTTATATAGAAAAATAAAATATGTTCTAATTATTGTCCGACCTACATAAATATATGTTATAGTAAGGTTATGAACCTTTTAAAGGTGCCGGACTAATTGAATTTTTAAAAAACATAATATTTTGTGCCTCGGAAATGCTTTAATTTTTATTTCACAAAAGCTTTTTTATTTTGGAGTGCTTTTATAGAATGCAAAACGTTAACCATTGGCCAATTACCAGAACCATTTTTTTCATCTGTTGCTTTTTGGCAATAACTACAGTTATAGAGATTTTGTATTTTGTATTTAAGTCAAATTACTACTTTGTTTACATTTTGCCATTTTTAGGACAATTAAATCATTTTACATTTCTTAGGTAAAAAAGTATCTAACAATCCTCTAAAACAATTATTTAAACATTATAAAATTCATGTTTGCCTTTTCTAAAGTATTATGCATTTGTTTCTGAGGCATAATGTGCCTTTGAAGAACAAAATTTTATCATTCTTTAAAATATGATTGAACACCTTTAACTTGAAGCTTTTAAGCGAAACTAGGTTGTGTGTTGGGCATGTGCAATAATCGTGTCGTCTACATTTCTAGAAAGTTATTTAGATAAAATAAATAATGGCTACTGAAGATGATTTTGGGAATGAAACGGAAGTTTTAAATGGAACTGGACTAGTAGGACGAGGCTTTACAGAATTTGATATTGAGAATCCGGACAGAGTCAAAGAAAATGACCCCGAAGTCGTCGAAGATTACTCCAAGAAAGTTATTATATACGGTGTGAACGAATCCCCGCCAATTCATATCATGTTGGTGTGTGCTCTTCAGGTAAGGACATGTTCAACATGTATACTTATAAAATATGTAAGCTTATACAACACGTGTGTGTGCAAGATTCATTTTATGATATACAAATGTTTGAGGGACAGTTCGGAAAGACACGTGAATCGCGTTCACACTGTGTGGCATATCTATCATTATATATTATACACATGTACTTGCATATTAGACTGGTGTATTTTTTCTTTAATTTCAGCAAGGACTGTCAGCGTTGTCAGGGCAACTGATAGTAGCAGTCATGGTTGCTGAGGTCGTCTGCGCATCTAACAATGACGTGTTTAAAGCCAGAATTCTCAGCTCTACTATGTTCATGGCAGGCGTTTCAACTATTGCGATGAACGTCATTGGAATTAGGTCATTCAATTTACATTTGTTATGTCCAAAGAGAATGAAAACCATACATGCATTTAATAATATCACAATATTTATCTACTGGTTGTTTTTTAAAATCTGACAAAATAGAGAAATAATAGTGGTTTTTACTGATGCTCATGTACATATACTTGTTTTATTTATGTTGCATTGTAGATAAAATTTTCTACAGTTTTGTGTGTTGTTCTCATTACAGACCAAAATATTCATTATATTCTTTCTTGACGTGTTAGAATGGAAATAGATATTAATTCTTCGTGCATTATTGTATAATAATGCACGTTTTTCGTTCAAATGCTTTGTAATTAATCACTCAGGCCTATCGGCCTTCGTGATTATATTACTACGCATTTGAACTCAAACCGTGCATTATTCTACAACAATGCACTCAGAATTGATATCTATTTCCTAAGCAGCAGCCATTTTGATGACAAATGGCGGGACAATTGGCACACCTCGGCTATTATTAATAGTAACCTTATCCGAAGTTTGATGGCGGAGTTTGTTGAAAAACGGTACATGTAACTATGTATTTATTTCAGATTACCATTATTTCAAGGAGGAACAGTTATGTACGTGGTACCATTAATGTTAATGTCTGACCTGGGAGGATCTTTCTGTTCATCAACATTAGGTAACGTGCCTCTCTTTTTTCATCTTCAAAAGCGATAAAATTGGACGAAGTCACTTCTGTCAAACCTTTATTGGCCTTATAGTCTAATCTTGTTTGTTTGTTTTTGTTTTTTTGGGTTTTACGTCACATCGAAACAGTATAGGTCATATCGCGACGCTCCAGATTTACTGGTGGAGGAAGAACTCAGGTGTCCTTCCGGGCATTATTTCAGGCACGAACGGGCACCTGAATAGAACCACCGACGTTTCCTCACATGAAAGAATCCAAAGACTAAGTCCCTGTAGGGATTTGCAGCTGTGTACGAGCCCAATAGAATCAGTATTGTACACAACAATGTATACATAATGGCCTCTTTATTTCTAACCACCTTTTTGATAGAACTTTTCTAATTCAAACATGATATGGATTTGATATGGATTTTTTTGGACTCTGAAAATTAAAACGAGGGTAGGTTCTATAACGATTTATTTTTGGCGATAACATGGTGAAAAAGCAGAATATTCATTGGTTACTTTTTATAAAGAGTAAAATAAATATGTATCTTTAAATGAACTTAAATGCATTGATAGTAAATATAAAGGATGTGTTTGGTGTGTGTACCTAACTTTATGTGTTCATTTGTTTGTAAGATACGTCATATCTAGGTTGCTTATTTGAGCCGCGTCACGACAAAACCAACATAATGGGTTTGCGACCAGCAGGATCCATGCTGTTCGCTTACAAACCCTATTACAAGTAGAGAAACTGAAAGCGAACAGCATGGATCCTGATCAGACTGCGCGGATGCGCAGGCTGGTCTGGATCCATGCTGGTCGCAAACCCATTATGTTGGTTTTGTCATGGCGCGGCTCATTTCATATAAGATTATATATGACGGTTTTTCGCATATCACTATACTAAAATTATATTCTGTCAGAAACATCTTTCACTTGGGAACGTCAAAGATTTAACACAATGAATGCATTCTTTTATTTTAGACCAAACTTCTTCAAACATGACACATGGAAATGTATCATCTGGTGAATCAGATGAGTCGATGGAAATAATACTGACCAACGTCAGAGCGGTGAATCATCCACATATTCTTCTTAATATAAGCTAGTCTCTTTTCTTAAAATTTTATATTCAGCTCAAAATTACAATCAAGATATTTTGATGTATTTACTTTATCTGATTACGGAATATATGTCTTTACTGAGATAATAATAATAATAATAATAATAATAATAATAATATAATAATAATAATAATTATAATTATAATTATAATAATAATAATGCAGTTTAAAGAGGCCGTTTTTTTCTCTGACCAAGAAACTTTACACTCATGCATTGCTTAGTACTGGTTGGTTTCAAGGATATTCGAGTGTTTCAATAAGCTTCCAACACAATTGAACTAAAATAAATAAGTATAAACTAATAATAATACACTTTTGTATTTTGTCAATTTGTCTTTTAATATGACAACTGAGTAAATAATACACAGTACGTACATGATAAAGTGGTAGGATTAAAACATCACCAGCACACACAATAACTATTATTGTACTGTATTTGTTCAGACACGGAGAGTATCACATGTATGTTGTACAGTTCTCTATATGAGCCGTGTCATGACAAAACCAACATAATGGGTTTGCGTCCAGCATGGATCCAGACCAGCCTGCGCATCCGCGCAGTCTGATCAGGATCCATGCTGTTCGCTATCAGTTTCTATACTTGTTATACAGTTTGTAAGCCAACAGCATGGATCTGGATCCATGCTGGTCGCAAATGCATTACGTTGGTTTTGTCATGACGCGGCTCATATCTTTTCAGTTACAAGGTAGCCTGATGGTTGCCGGATGTGTACACGCACTGATGGGAGGCCTGGGACTCATTGGGTTTCTTCTGAAGTTTATTGGACCACTAACTATAGTACCCACAATGATACTCCTCTTTGTTTTTATGATCAAGGCTTTCCTTAAGTTTGTCACTGTTAGCTGGCCCATATCAATCTCGTAAGTCTTAAATCATCAATAACTTTTATATGACTTTGTGAAAATGTTATTATGAAATATTTATTATTCGTTATTCCAATTGGTTTGTTCAATTTGTACTATGATAATTAGCTTCCATTAAACTTGATACATGTATATATATCCATAACTGGAAAATAATCAAAGAAAATCTATATGTTGTTTAAAGATTTTTCAAAAACATCCAAAAAAAATCAATTTATGTTACATCACAACTAAATTGAAAATCGCCGGAATTTGCATGAGAATTCTTTTGAGACTTATATCTTATTTAATAAAACTCATAGGCTAATAATGGATAACATCCACTTGGACTTATTGCAATAAAATCTTTATTTAAACCACACCAAAGGATATTCATTAAATGTCATATATAAAAACATACCTGGCAAAAGGAAATAAAAAAGGTTTAAAAATCTTAAAATGGTCGTGTTTTCCTATGGCATTCGTGGCTTTCCATATCACACTAGCCATGCATAGTTATCTTACTTAGAACGTTTTTATTTAATCTTTAACTGATATTTCAATTTAATATTTTATAATTAAATAAATGTTCGTCATAACAAAACTACAATGTAAAATGAATGGTTTTATTATGATAATTTCAGAACAATGGCGGTGTCTGTTATATTGTTTTTGTACCTGTCACGTTATAACATGCCCATTCCAGTATGGACACCTTCTGGGGGATGTAGAATTATACGATATCCTTTACACCAAATATTCTCTGTAAGTTTTTCTTGAAATTAAATTGTTTTATTAAAAAATAGTGCATCATTTTACCATGTTAAAATAACATAGCTTTAATATTCACGATGGTGAAAGTTCGAAAGTTGGTGAAAACACGAAATTATGTCGGAGTTTTCACCCATCATGGTTTTGTTATTTCGACTTTACATCATAGTACTTTCGAGTTTTCATCATCTTTCATTCGACTTTTAACCATCTTGGTTTCGTTATTTCGACTTTTCAGCATTGTAATTTAGTGTTTTCGTTGTTTTAATTTATGTGTGTGTCGCGATGGCCCTAAAGGGACACTGTATAAAAGTTTTCAATCGTTCGACATTGTCCATTTCTGCTAGCATATCAAATTATTATCGTAAATGAAGCACAACCCAGTCTATTCTCATAAAAAACCCAGAGAAACAAAAAACCTTGTGCAAGTGTCTTCTCTGTAGAAAATAGAATGATTAAAGGTGCAATTTTAAACATTAGAAATGTTTACCAATGTGCTTTTCCATATTGATGTAGGTTTTGAGTTGATATATTTTTATCTATATGTTGATACATGTTAATCTATATATGTATTACTTTTACATTCTTAGATTTTGATAGCACTGTTAGTGAATTGGTTACTGTGTGGGATACTAACGGCATACGATGTGTTCCCTAACGACCGGTCACACAAAAGCTACAATGCTCGGACTGACGCGAGAGTAGGCGTTATATATGACAACCCATGGTTTACATTTCCATATCCAGGTATCATAATTTTAACTTTTACTGCAAGTCGAAGTTGAAGGGACTTTCGTAAAGACTTCGAGTTATCGGGACTTCGACTTGTCGAAAACATCGACACCTTGAAATTCGACTGATATAATGGTTTTAATATTATAAAGAATATATAGGGGGAAATTAGGACTTTTCTTTTTACTTCGAGAAAATGAACTACTCGAGGTTTGACACATGCAAATTCTTCTTATTATCAATAAAACTTGTTAAGAAATAGAAAGAGCGTCACCACAGAAAAGCAATTAAATATCCGAACTTTTTGATGTTATGCCTAACTTCTTATAGCGGAATACAAGTAATAGTTTGGTATACGAATTATCCCAAATACAATTGCAACGAAAAAGTCACCCAGCTATGATACAATTGTATTTTACCTTCAGGTCAGTATGGACCTGTGAGCATCAGTGTACCTGCTACAGTGGTCTTCATAATTGCTACATTCATCTCTATTCTTGATTCAATTGCTGACTACTACGCATGCGCACGAGTAAGTCGCGTGCCACCACCACCAACGCATGGGGTAAACAGAGGTATCTTAATTGAAGGTATATGCAGCTTTCTCTCCGGAACTTTCGGCTGTGGTCACGCTACAACAACATATGGTTCAAATGTTGGCTCGATTGGCGTCTGCAAGGTTCATATTTTCATATTAAAAAATGCATGGTGTCCCTTTTTGTCTCCTCATTAATGATCCAAGCTAGAGAGTGATTATTTTAGATTTTCCACACATATATATGGACAAATGCGTTTTGTTTTTGCCATATATTTAACAAAGGAGACACTTTATGTAAATTTGAAGCGAACAGTCAGTGCGTGACGTCACTCCGAGTACAAGACGTTTTTTACCATTTTAGAACGAAATTAAAGTAGTACATTGCATAAATTTATATTTATTTTTGCTCTACTCATGTAGTCCTGCTTATAGGCATTTTCTCTGCCTTCTATTTCTATATCATCATTAACTGTATTCATTTACTGAAATAATAAGAATTCTTTACATACCACTCAATGAAAATAATAGGAAAAAAACTTAAATATCGTCCATTTAGCTAAACATGCATTCTATGTTTTTCTTGTTGTTTAATTCTAATTAAGTTATAATGATGTTTAAATTGCATATTTCAGGTAGCTAGTAGGTCAGTTTTTGTATACACTGGAGTTCTGTATATCATATTTGCTGTTTTTGGGAAGTTCTCTGCAGTATTTATTGCAATACCTGACCCGGTGTTAGGTGGAACCCTGTTTGTCATGATTGGAATATTCATTGGCGTTATGATCGGAAATCTAGAGGTAATTTCATAATTAATTCAAGACACATTATGCCTCAACAACAAAATCTTTTTTTTTACTTCTTTAGAAAGGACATTGACTTTTGTAACGTTTAAATAATAGTTTTAGATAATCTTAGATGCTTGTTACCTGAAGAAGTAGAATAAATGTGAAATAATTTGTAATAATAGTAGCAAAATGTAAACAAAGTAGTATTTTGACTTCCATACAAAATACTAAATCATTATAAATGTACATACCCCAAAAAGCAACAGAAAATACCGGTAGATGGTTTAGGTAATTGGCCAATGAGTATATAACTTCTTGGATACTTCACTACCAAAATTTAAGATATTTTGAGACATAGAAATTAAAGCATTTCTGAGGCATAATGCGCCTTTGAAATTTGATATCTTTAATATTTTAACACATTTCTCCGTGCTTTTTTAAACTGTTCAAATCAGTCAAAATGATATTTAATGGGAAAGGTCTATTCGATTTCAATGATCCAGCGCACTTATATATATATATATATAACTAACAAATCATAATTTCGTTGTTTTGTATAATGTCATATATAAGATCTACATGCATTGAACACAAATACAAAGTGTTATTACCTTCGAATAATATGTATATACATTTTAGGTAACTTCAATGTCTTCGCCAAGAAATGTTGCGATTCTCGGCCTTTCTATATGTGTAGGATTTGCTATTCCTTTTTGGGCACAGGCAGAAGAAACACCTGTAGAGTTTGGTAAGCAAGACAACTGGGATTATTGCAGCAATAACATTAATGAGCCGTGTCACGACAAAACCAACATAATGGGTTTGCGACCAGCATGGATCCAGACCAGCCTGCGCATCCGCGCAATCTGATCAGGATCCATGCTGTTCGCTATTAGTTTCTCTACTTGTTATAGGGTCTGTAAGCAAACAGCATGGATCCTGATCAGACTGCGCGGATGCGCAGGCTGGTCTGGATCCATGCTGTTCGCAAACCCATTATGTTGGTTTTGTCGTGACGCGGCTCAAATGAGCATTAAAAGCAGTAATTCTACATGTAAAATAGTAGTAAAATACATGTTTTGTGAAGTGAACAAAGTAAGCAATTTATGCATGCAATCCATGTACGAGTAACTTACCAAAAAAACCTTTACTGCTTAAGTCACAAGTCACGCATTAGAAATATGGTGATAAATACTGCACAATAAGTCATTAATCGCACATTACATGTGAATTATTGTACATCTTTCTCAAGTTTGATTTTCTTATTTATATTTGGCCTATCTGGAGGCATGCAGCTTTAGTCATTCAAGAATAATCACTTCTAATCAAGCTATAGCTAAGCCTCACGTTTAAAAGAATTCAAAACGTCAACGCTTATATTATTGGCGCTTTTTATCATGACTTTTACAGGCTTTTGAATACAACGTATTTTAACAATTGCAATTGTGTTTACAGCCGTAATATCAGGTGATTTATATGAGCCGTGTCACGACAAAACCAACATAATGCGTTTGCGACCAGCATGGATCCAGACCAGCCTGCGCGCATCCGTGCAGTCTGATCAGGATCCATGCTGTTCGCTTACCAACTCTATTACAAGTAGAGAAACTGATAGCGAACAGCGTGGATCCAGATCAGACTGCGCGGATGCGCAGGCTGGTCTGGATCCATGCTGGTTGCAGACCCATTATGTTGGTTTTGTCGTGACGTGGCTCATATCTTCATACAATTTTAATGATGAAAGATGAATACCCTTGGCTTAATTGCAATAAAAATCGTTAAACCTATATTTACGTTACAGGGAATGAAAAAGCAAACCGACTTGTTGGAATGTTCCTCAAGAACCCGAATTTAGTTGGAACTCTTCTTGCTTGCTTTCTTGATAATACTGTTCCAGGTTAGTTTTTCAAAATCAAAATATCTCACGCTATTATTGTCTTGTAGACACAAGATATAACTTGATATATTTTACGTTTGAATGTAATTTTACTTATCTTTTTAAGATATAATTAAGCAGGTCTCTGCCCGGTGAATCTACAAAATATGTAAGAGGCAGTAAACTTTCACATCTATCGGATTCTTGCTTCTTTTTCATTATTGCATTCTTTGGATTTCTAATTACCGACTTGCTCTTATAATAAGTTACAGTTACTGATTTCATTTCATATGAATATTGGTTGCAGTCTCCACGTATTACATACTTTTTTAAATTCATCACGTCGTCAACACAGATAACTCGTTCAATCGCTCACATACTTGCACATTTGTATTATATTTTAAATGATTGATACATATTATATAATTTCACTCTCTACTTAAGGAACAAGGAAAGAAAGAGGAATTATATTAGATGAATCGGACGATACAGAAACCAGTAAAGATTATTATAATGAAGGGTATGAAGTCTACAGGCCACTGCTACCAGCACGTATACTACGGTGGAAACTTATGAAATATATCCCGTTTCTACCATATGAACAACATTAAAAGACACCTGTTAAAAAATAAACTTATTACTAAATCTATGACTATTTATCTCAAATAGTTATCAATTTAAGGAAATACTCCACTGATGCTTTTTTTTAACATGCTGGGACTGAAAATATTTTTTCCAAGATATAAAAGTTCCATTTGATATACTAGTAGGTCTAGACCAATAACTTACGTGCAAACTTTCAGGTCATTTGCCCACTCCCTTTTTTTCTGAAAAAAATTCAAATTGTGAAAAATGATCCAAAATTAAAAAGCGTTGCCATGTTTTTTTTACTAAAATCGAGATAAGAATAGCATAAAAATACGCTTTTCAATTTATACTGAGTATATTTCTGAATTATCTTTTGCTTATCGCTCTGCTTAAAGTGACCAAGCTCATCTATGTACGATATTCAAATTTCTTTTTGGACCTCGGTGGAGTTCCTTTAATATCACGAAAGATTACATCTCTGATTATACACTGAATAACAGAGAAAAGAAATTGTTTGGTTCAGTATAGTTATACTCTTTTTACATTTTAACATGATGGTGATATTAAACCGTTGTATGAATAAGCACAATGGAAAAGTCGTGCAAGGTGGTGCAAGTACTACAATAAATTGTGTACAAGTATACTGTTTTCACATTGCATAGTACGAACATAAACCTATTTCTAACCTAAAAGAGTGTAAATGAAATGATTATATTCAATCTATATTAAAACATCATTAAGGTGTTAATATGAGTTTGTTTTTAGTTTCATCTTTCGGAGCTATTTTTACTAAGCATGAATAAATCACATTTGGAAAAGACACCAATAAGTATAATTATCCAATTTCATGAATTTAATCATTGAACAAGCAGAACCCACTAGTGCTATAGAAATGAACTTTCATACAGAAACGTCAATAAAAGACTTTTAATTAATGTGCATGACACAAAAAGGTTACGTTCGTAGTTTTGCGGAAACGGCAAAGGAAGTTTTCGAATGTTATTAATTGGGGCTTCGCAAGCTTTGATCACTAGTGAAAATGAAACTCAGGAAATTGAGAAGAAACCAGCGCAGTGGCAAGAGTGAAATCTTCATCATCATCTCTATGATACTGGATTTTATTATATAATAAACATTATGATTGATACGGTTCATTTGTCATAATGCGGACACCATATTTTCTGACGTTTTACCTTCAGGAATAACCTTGACCCGGCACAACGGCGCCGTTTATTTCCAAAGAAGTTTATTATTTATGCTGTTATCAACAATCTACACATACATATAACATTTTCATTTGTGCACTTTCATAAACTACTTATCATAACATTTATCATATGATAATGGATAATCTGCCAAGTGGTTGACTTTAACCCGCTGTGGGTTCGAATCACGACAGGGATCGACTTCGGATTCTTTCAGATGAGGAAGCTATCAATCCAGCTTACGAAACGTGGTGGTTCTACTCAGGTACCCGTTCGTACCTGAAATAACGCACGGAAGAGCACATGAGGTCTTCCTCCACCAGTAAATCTGGTAAGTCGCCAAAATAAATATAAAAAAATACAAACCAAAATAAAAAAAAATCTTTATTTCAAGCTCAACATGTTACATTGATATGTCAATCAAGTTTGCAACTTCATCACCTTTACAAATATCACATATACATATGTATATGTTTTGTTGAATGGTTGAACTTGTCACAATATATAATATTACAGGATATTTGATTTTTCCTATAAATACAGGATTTATTTTCATAGAGTGGTATGAAAATAAATATTTCATAAGCGGCGGTAGCCACGAGTGAGTTGTGATAATTTTCATACCACAAGAAAATGCTTAAGGCTTCATAACGACATTTATTTACAAAAAATAATGTCTAAATAATTGTTTATAATTTATTTACAAACATTCTTACATATGTGTAATTTGTTCAGTGTGTCGAGATGACATTGTGTCCATGGGTGACGGGGAGGATACACTAATACATCGCAGTGTGTAATTATATACAGTCATAAATGTTGCCAGGCAAAGACAGCTCTCTCCTAATAAAATGAAAACGAACCAGATCGGCGAAATATTGTCCATTAGATACCCTAAAAATAATGGATTCAACATCTGACCACTTGAAGCTGCTATAAGAAAGACCGAAGATATCACACCCGTAACTTCAATAACATTTTCGTGTGTCCAAGAAAATACGCACGGGAAAGTAATAGACATTGCGAACCCAACCAGTGCTATAAATAGCCATACCAATTCTATTGAATACGTTAGACTAGCTATGAGAAGCCCAACAAAAGATATTATTAATAAAGCTAGGAAGCTGGATAATAACTGTACAGGAAGGAACCATTTGATAAGAAATACCCCTGCTAACCGACCTACTGAATATGTAGTCCAGAACAAGCTTGTGGCATAACTGCTGGTACTACTGCTCCATTGTAGGTAACTAATACAAAATGTTGCCAAATATCCGAAAAATGTGTCCTCCACTGCACAGTATGTTAAGAAAATAAAGAACAGTAATGCGATTACTAATGACTTTTGTCGAGCCGGAAGCGGAGTAAGCCGGTGTTTATTACAACTGCCATCTTGTGACGTCGTTTTTAAATCACTTCCGGTCCATTTATAATAAATGATAAAGAACGGAACGCTGCTAGACAAGACAAAACAGCATGTTATCAGATAAGCAAAATGAATATTTGTACTTCCATACGACATGACAAAGCTCGTTGCATTGACTGAACTATCGTTCAAATAAAGTCCTGAAAATAAAATAAAAATAAAAAACTAGTATATACACGTGTGTTGTCAAACCTTTAATATAAACAATCAAATGAATTACTCTGGATTTGATAATTTCTCTAATGTTTTCTTTCTGTGATACTTGCTTTATTATACGAGGGCAGATTCAGAAATACCCGGAATTTAGCCCATTTATTCAATTATGTCCATAATAAGAGCACTATATTAATGCACGAGATATCTATGGTGGCATATTTCTGTCAACAGTTTACCATATATAATTATCGCGTTAACTCTCTAACTACTTAGTTTTCGTGTTAACAAGATATATAACAGACTAACTAGGTATTTTTCTGTTAGATAGATAAATAACAAAAAAGGATGTAGGGGAGACTGGGGCACTCTGGGACAAAAATCATAATTTTCAATCTCCAACTTAACATATCTTACGGATTGATGCTTTCTTTTGTGGATGAAAAGGACAATATGTACTGGATGTAGCAGATAACTAACTGAACCTAAAATAATTAAGTTGACTTGGAGATATACATTAGAATACGGTCATTAAAATGTCCCAGAGTACCCCGAGCTAGGGGCACTCTGGGACACCATATATGGTACAGTGGGACATGCTTGGGTACGTAGGACAACATGTATAATTTCATTGAAACAAAAATATTACTGGAATTGAAAATCTGCGGTTGTTTCAAAAATCTAGATGTTCCAGTGCACGTTAAATGTGGAATTCTGCTTAAGCCGCGGGGCGGGGGTGGGGGCGGTTAATTGCACTTTCCATTACTGTTTATGAACAGGCTTGAAATCAAACTGAGCCTGCAACATTTTCAATTTTGCTGTTTTGGGCTTTCTGTAGGAATTCTATTGAAATTTCTCTATTTTTATTTTAATTTTGATAGGTGCGTATAGTCACACTTGTTTTGTCCAAGCATGAATCACTGCCATACTAATGAATGACAAAGTTAAGAAAATTGAATCTAAATTCATTCATTTGACGTTCATTGTCATTTAAAGGCCAAGAACAAATCTAAATTATTCCATATGTTTCTTTGATCACAAGTATTGTTTTGTCCACATATGAATCAAATTCTTCCATAATGACAAAATATGTCAATCAAAATTCAATAATATGGCCATGACGGTCGAGGTCATTCAAAGGTCAAGGTCAGTTTATCCTTTCAGAAGTTCTTGTCCAAAATTTTGTTTTGCCAAAACATTAAGATAATTCATTTATTAATTACCAAGTTACAATCAATTATGGCAAAAATCAGTGAAAGTGCAATAATCTAACGGTCAAGGTCATAAAAGATCAAAGGTCAATTTGAGTTTGATACACATGAAAGTCTAACCCAAAAGAGTGTTGTCCCAGAGTACCCCGACCACCCCCACCATTTTTATGTGACAATAATCTAAAAAGACAACCAAACCAAGATTTATTTCAAATCAGAAAATAAAGGCAATGTTTAGCACATTATCATTTACTAATATGATACAAATAAGTATTCAATGTAGAAGAATTTGAAAGCTATATAGGAATTTTCTAGAATTTCACTTTGGAAGGTAAAAAGTGCATTGTACTCGCCAGACTGGTTTTTACTCAATTTGCTGCTATGAAACTTTTGAAGGGAAAAAGGCTTGACAAGATCAATCATCTGCATAAATCAGGTTTAAATCAAAGAACAAAAGCTATCAAAAGATCCCATTGTCCCGCAGTGCCCCATGTCCCAGAGTACCCCAGTCTCCCCTAACTTTCAACACTTAAAAGTGCCCAAAACTGCCAACCGAAAAACAATCATTTCGGTTCTTTTCAGGATTTTCTTGTTCCATATTTTCATCTTTTTAAAAATCTTAATTTTACGCAAACTGTTTACAAGATAATGAAATTTAAAATTCAATCTCATTCAAATTAACTTTAATCTTAGCATCAAATAGTGTAACTGAAAACGATGTACCAGAGTTGTTAGTGTTTCCATGCACTGGCTGGCTGCAAACAGGTTTTGCGAGAAAAGGTTCCGTTGCCAGGGGTGACAATATTCCGCCCAGCCCGAAGCTGAGATGTAGTGCCTGCATATAGGATCCTCCTTCTGTATCCCAGAGTGATATAATGTTTACATTGCCTCCTGAATAAGTAATTAACAATATAGATTGTTATTTGGAATATAATTGAAGAATTCGCTCATCGAGCGTCACTGC